CATGACTTTACTAATGTGGCAGGAAAATTGGTGTGTGAAAATTCACAATTCAATTTAATGAGCAAAAGATATGTTAATGCATTGTAATAAAAATGCTAACATGCTTATTATTGCAAATTGTTAAAATATTTACTGAATAAAAATGAAGAATACATGTAATTATTTAAATGCAACCACCAAGACTCTGACTATCTTTTTTTAATTCTGAGAAGCCTGTATTTCTGTAGAAAAGCAAACTAATGAGAAAATTCAACTTTAATGCAAGAGTTTACAAAGAAGTTAGAAAAAGCATATAACTTTGCCTCTCTGCTTAGTTAGATTGATGAATTGAGCTACAACGAAACCTTCTTAGCGCAAGAGAAGCGTGAACCTACTTCCTGTCATAGAAGAAATGGTCAAAAATTTCGTAAAACAATAAGGGAAACTATTTCGATATATTAGGAAATAGGCTTGGGAGATAAAAAAACATAAAAGCATAATAATAAATTATGTTTTAGCTTTCAGAATAATAAATGTATGCATGTACTATTTCTATAAAATAATGAAGAACCCGTAGAACGATAAAGTCCTACCAGTTGAACCATATTTTTTTGAAATATTTTTAAAAGCACTAAAGTTTTTCGACCCTTTGTCACCCATTCAAGATACTACGAGGCATTATAAAAACCTCTGAAAACTAGATTTGCTTAAGATATCCCCATAAACGAAAGTTATCCTTCTAATAAAGATTTTGTGTACCGATCGATCCTATAGCAACTAGCTGTTTGGATTCAAAAGTTATCGCATTTCATACAGGCGGGCAGTTGTATTTGTTTCTATCGTTTTATATTGTCATACTGATCATATACATATGTATACATATAGTATTTACCTATAACATTTTAATTTAATAAAGGGTATTTACAACAGAATGTAAATATTGCATATGGAAATGTATTAAAAAACGTTGGTATATATTTTCCACAAAATATGAGTATACTTTAAAAACCTAATGAAGTTATAACAAATGGCCCAGTTTATTAAATGGTTTTTCTTAAACACTAACATACAAAAATGCTGAACATTTCCGTTAATTATAATTGGCCATAAATAAGTATGTATGCCGTGAAACATTTAACACTTTCACAATGCAATCTGAGCAAGATTTCTTAAAATGCAAACTGGCCAGAACGTTTTCGAGCACTTCGTGCTTGGCACAAACACACGAGCACGCACGTGAATACATCGCGAGCCTACTTCATACATGAGACGTTGCATGCTTGTACGAGTATATATATGTGTGAGTGTGTGTGTGTGTATGTATTTTTGCAGCATTGAGCTAATTGATCGATAATATTTTCCAATTTACCGTTAAACCGCCTCGTTTGTTTACATTCTTGTAGAGAGCGCGAGCAGCTCAAGTGTTGGCATGTGTGCGCTCTTAAGCGCTCTCATTTGTGCCCGTGTGTGTGTGTGTGTGTGTGTGTGTGTGTGTGTGTGTGTCTGAGATTTTGGGAGCACGGCATGAAAACAAGTTCTGTAAAGATCTTAAAAACTGTGCTCAGCAGCTCTCCACTCTGTATGGTGTGCAGCATGTTTCATATTTATAATTAATTTCCATTTCTCGTTTCATGAATTTCACTGCAATTTCAACGCAAACTGTTTATAACTGTTAAATGCCTTGACCAAACATTGCCCCAAGGGTTCCACAGTGGACCAGTAGATGCCCTGTCTTGGAGATTCTCTTATGCGGACACATAAATTATGTATTTTGTTGATGAGTCAATTGCCACCAACCAGCAAATAAGCGGCTGCAAACGCAGCATGCAACATACCATATTTGGCTATTGAGCCAATTTCCAAGCATGATTAATGATGTTCCGACCTATCGAGACGACGCCAACGACCACTGGCTTACAATTTTGCATGGCTGTTGTTTTTGTTGCAAATATTTTTTGGAGACAAACTTGTTATCTCATTTCTTAGCCACTTTGCAGCACTTTTTCCTCCAATAAATACCAAAAAATCTTTAACGCTGTGCGAATTTATTCAGGCGTTTGACACACTTTCGTTCACCTGAGCATCTGTATGGATGTGGATATGAGTGCGTGCCGTCTTGTTGTTTTTGTATTTGCATATGTATCTTTGTATCTCCGCATCTGTGCTTGTATGTTACATATGTATGTATGTGTGCTTCGTATGCGATGCTGTAACCTATTTTGCATGCGATTTGGTGATTATTACATTGACTTGAATTTCTCGTTGCTTGCTCTACCTTAATTAGGGTCAAAGACACGAGGTATTAACCTGTGATAAAATCCGAAAACTGCTACTACTCTTTGCCACTGATTGCTTACCGCTTTAAGAAATTGATTTGAATTAGAAAATACCTGCGGGCGGCTATAGGCAGATAGAAACAAAATGAAGTCATAAGCATTTATGATAAAAAAGAACGTTGAAGCTGAGCTGCCCTGACCATGGGATACTCTGTATAATACCTGGCCTTTCTCTAAATAATAACAATGCTTCTTAAAAACATATCTTGGTGCTTTATAGGATTGAATATAACGGAAATTGGAAACAAGCCTAATATGCTTAGACGTCTGTGGAATGCCCGCGCGAAGTTAATTGTCTTATAGTTGACTGATTCAATGCTTTTCTAGATTCATATTTCGATGATAGGTGCATGATTAGAAAATAAAGATACTCACCCTAACGTATGGATGTAGAGTATGAAAATAAAAAAGTCACGTGCATGGTCTCCTCCATACACACATAGCTGCGTCTGCGTCAGCTACATTGGTAGGTTATTCACGCTATAGCTGATGTTGTTATTTATAATGCTGAACAAGCAGGTGTTCCCCCAAATCTCTTACAAACTGCTCGTGCCGAAGTGCACATGAACATTCTTAGCATATTTAATGAACCTTATTCAGCCAAGTAGCTGAATGTTCGGATTAAGGAATTTTTTTTAATAAGCTGTGAAGGTCAAATTATTACAGCGGATGTTGCAAGTACTTACTTCCCGCATTACCTTTTCAAAAAATGGTAAAAAAAAATATGATGTGAAAAATATTAATGTAAAATGCTTGCTTTTCTGTAATACAATAAAATGCTATGATTATTTTGTGAACAGGGGAGCGATGGCTTACTTCACTCCAACCTCAATTCAAATGCCCTAAGATTTTAATGAGAGCCTATACCAATTTGTTTGTATTAAGGAAACAAATTATGGTAAACTCTATAATTAGTGCCCGAAGGCGTTTACAGTAACAACAGCAACGCTCACATGGCGCTGCGCAGAGCTAATACATACGACTGTTAAGTCGCTGTTATCTTAACAGAGCGGTTGCCTCCAAAAGAGCAGCCTCGGTCATTTTCTCATGTTATCTGCTCAGTGCTTTGTGAATGGCTGTCTTTCTTTTGTTTACACGGCTTTAACGATTTGCGGAAGAACACTTGAGAGCACTTGACTGTCTAAGCATTAAAATGCGAACTCTCTAAAATAATGAGACAACATATATATTTATTAAGCAAGAACAGGAAAAAAGTGCGTGCGACCGAGCAGGTAAAATCGAAAAGTGCCGCAATAAATACAAACACTGTCACTTTTCTCAATTATGCGTTACGTTTTATAGTATTGTTTAAAAGTGTCCGAGTGTTGAAGCAGACCTTCTAATTGGTGCTTCAGATACTATTTTGTTTTCTGCTCGCTTTCAAAGTTGCCGATATTTACTTTCACTTGATTCTTTTTATGATTTCTGCGCTTTCTGAATTAAATGATTGTGGACTGTAGTGTTTTATAAGTAAAAATGAATCATTTGATTTTTCATATTTATTTTAAGTAAGTTGCTCAGCATACACGCATTTCATTTTCGATATCGCTCGATTTTCATTTAATTAACGTGCAGTTAATTGATTTCGCCGTCCATAGAGAGCTCAGCAAATAGCAAATCGACAGAAAAATGTGTGCGTGTTCTCTGCTCCAATTTCTGGCATTTCTTAAAACATACAAACATTGACACAGCCTCGAGACGCCTTGACCACAACAAATGGGGGCACGCACGGCCGTCAAAGTGGAGCACAGAGCGCCTGAAGTGTTAATTGTCAGCATAAACTCTTGGCTATTAGCCGAAATTGTAGATGTGGTCGATTCTGGCTAAAATACTTGTATCTGGTCGATTGCTTAGCTAGCTCACTGACTCTGGATTTTACACACTACAGCCAGTTGGCTGTGGTGGTCGTGCAAGATGCCTCGTTAATTGAGCCGAAAATCTATTCGAGCCAACTAAATGAATGCCAAGTAAATTCAATTGCAAGCTGTGCTGCTACCTTTTCTCCTCCTGTTGGGAAATTGTTAATTGAACTGGAAAGCAGAAATGCAACCAAGTCAAATTTAGCCGTTTACGGTTGCCTAGGAAACTGCACTGCGACGCAAGCAATGCCACTAGCTGCCGTGAACTTTGACATCAGCCATGGCAGTACGAGTGGCAACAACAGCAAGCTCTGCCAGTTGGAGGGCACTTTCACTTGACTGCCTTTTCAAGTGCCCTCCGCAGTTTTTTGTGGGCTCGCAGAGCAACGAACGTTGCCTCCAGTGCGAGTATGTAAATTGAATCTTGTTGTGGCTGTTGGCTGTCTTTGGTTGTCTCTGTTGTCATAATTAACATTGAAATGCACAATTAAAATGTCAAACGCAGAAAAAATATAAAACATCGCACAAAGTAATAAAAGAAGCGGCAAAAAACAATACATAGTATACAAAAAGGTAACTTCAAACTGTCACTGCTGGCCAAAAGTGTCACTTTCGTTTCAAGAATTTTATGCACTTTGCACATTTTCACCTGCTTCAAGGGAAAAGCCAATTAAGACCACTTGACTGTGCCATGCTGAAGTTGAGTGACATCGTAATTAAGATGCGTTTAAATCGAACTTACCCCAGTTAACTCTCTTTGCCTTTATCTTTGCGTTTTTTAATGACCGACTAACTAATTAACGGAAATTTCCCGTCTGTGTTGCAGGTGGACGCAAACTGTTTGGCGGCTATCGAATAACACCAAAGCATTGTCGCGCTACGAAGACACTACCCAGCTCGGACCCCCGATCCAATGGACCCACAATCTGCATGTTCAATCACGAATGCGCCCAACGCGGTGGCGAAGTGGTCGGAGCCTGTATGGATGGCTTTTTGTTCGGGGCTTGCTGCCAAATACCACAGACAAACGAACTGGCCAGCACGCTAATCAACGATGCGCAGAACTCGTACTTCCAACAGCAGCAGCAACAGAAGCTCCATATGCAAAATTCTGCTGCAGCCGTCTCACAGTCCTATGAGAGCTATGGGGAGCAGCAGCAGTTGAGTGAGAGCCAGTCCCAGGAACAAAAGTATCCGTCGGCATCGGCACAGCAACCGCAACAGGATAGCATCTACGATAAGCAGAACATTGACAAGGTCTATCAGCAACTAAGCAGCAGCACAACGAGCAATGGATATGTGGTGGAGCACGCCAGTCAGTCGCAGCAAGATTCTTACGGTGTCACTCAGGCTGGCACCACTGCCGAGCTGGAGAACGAGGCGACTCTAAATACGGACAACGAAGCGTCGAGTTCCAATGCCGTAGACACCCAAAAGAAGCAACCGCCCGCCATTCATGTGCACAAGCATTCGGTGAAGATCTCATCACCATCGTCACCGCCGCACAACGATGATTTTGTCATGCAAGTACTGAGCACTCTGCCTCCAGAGCATGAGAACGACCATATCGTGTTTACGACAGAGGTACCCACCAAGATTGCCAGCAGTATTGTCGAACAAACCAGCTCCGAGTCGAGTTCGTTTGAAGAAGAGCCACCAGCAACACAAGCGCCTTCAAAGCCAAAGCCTTTACTGCCTGAGACACAGAAGCTAGCCGAAACCATGAAACGCCCAGTTCATCAACAGAAGCCTAAGCCGGTATCACCAGCCCCCACTCATCAGTCGGAGCACACGAATATGCACCACCATAACCATTTGATACTAGACGGCGGCGAATTCACACACAGCGACATAACACATCCAGGCGCTGATGCCGACCTTGTAGAGGATCTGCAGTTCTCCACTGGCTATGGGCCGCAACCGGTATTCGCGGACCCACCTAAACACCCTTCCGAACAAAGCTACGTCTCCTCTTCCTCTCCCGCTTCCTCCGCCGAGGACAAATATGTATTGGTGCAGACTTTTACCAGTGAAAAGCGTCCATCTAATGTCCAGAGCAGCCCAACAACTGTGTCTTCAATTACCACGCACGTAGATTCAATTGAGTCCATCATACTGCAACTGAACAATACCAGCCATGGACCCAGCTACAATTTAGTCAGTCAGACTGCACCACAAAACGCATACGCAGAAGACACCACTACTTTAAGGCCTGCCCCACCAGCATCGACAGCCAGTTACTATCAGGAAAGCGATACCAATCGTCCAATGGACAACTACTATAATTCCGAAGCTGATAAGACGCAAGAATCTAGCGACTATACGACCAGCGTTAATTCGAATGCGGTGTACAATAAACATTCGGAAGAACAAGAGGCTTTGGAAACGTCGGCCCAATCTAGCGAATACGCAGCGCTACAAGCTGCTGAACAGCCTACAGCCCGGCCCAGCTATAGCGAAGATTCGTCGTTGGTACTGGATGAGCATACAATTCCCTCAAATGGTTACAATGACGCAGCTGCTGAAGTGGCTCCACAAACCTCGCAATTCAACAAAATGCCGGCTGTAGGCATAGCATACCCCGTTGACATTTCCTACGTTGAAGAAGAGTCTAGCGAACCTGCGGCATATGGTCAACAGTCTGTCAGTTCATTGGAATCCGCTGCCCCTGCCAGCACCGAGGCCACCTATCAGAAGATTTCAACACCATCATACCCTGAAGAACCTCAATCTCCACCTGTATACCTGCGGCCAACTACCAACGCAAACAAGCCGAATAGACCTGTAGCATCCTACATAGGCATGATCACAATGCAGAACTACAACAAGCAACCATCCAGCCAATACAGCCAGGTGCCCGCAGAGGTTTCTGTGTCCTCGCATACGACAAAAGTCCAGGAACAGTATGCCGATGGAACTTCAGATAGCTACCAGCAGCAGACTTCACCACAGCAGCCGGACAAATTGGCTAGTTACGGTGTAGGTTCTGAGACCACACCAGTTCCTGCATATACACGACCTGCCTCAACGGCTAGTTACCTTCCTTCGACTGCAGCGTTTCCGGTATCTCAACCTCAATACGACAACGTGGTGTACGAAACTTCATCTGCGCGCCCTGTACTGGTGACTGCAAGCCCGAAGCCACGCCCAAGGCCGAGTACCAAGCGGCCAGGTGTTAAGAGACCCTCTAACAATAGTAATACGAAGAAAAAAACACCCAAGCCACAGGTCGCTAAGCAACCAAGTAATAACTACAATCAAGAAGCTCAATCAACTGCTTCCTATAGCACGACAGAAAATATAACGAGGCGACCTGCGACGCAGCCGGCCAATAACTTTAATGTGGGAGATGTCTTTAACCAGCCTGCTGCCAATTATAACGATGAACCTGAGGATCAACAGGTTTACCAGGAACCGCCAACAGCGCCAGTCGCAACTTATAACAAACCACAAAAGCTTGCACAACCCGCCCTGAGCTATAACGAGGACACAGGTGTGCAACCCTCTCTCAGCTATAATCAGGAAATCGCTAGCTCTCCCACTCGTCGCACCAGTACGAAAAAACCGGGAGGTAAAAAGCCAGTATCCACAAGCTATGTTACTGGTCCTAGTACGCCGCGTCCAGCACCTACCGTCGACTATCACTACGATAAAGTGCCACCTCTATTCATGGCTGATGATAAGATGGACGCCTTCATTCAAAGTACAGCAGAGAACATTATTGGTTCCACGCCGGCTAATTACCAGCCTCCAATATATGCCACCGCCTCGACACCAATTCATGTCCAGCGCCCCACCAATAACTACAGTGCGCACAAGAAGCCCGGTTTTGTGCAAATAAATGGCACACCAAAGCCACCCAGGCCCACTGTGCTCATTACTCCCAAGCCTACAGCTATAAATCTAGTCACGTCCAGCTCCTGGACCCAGATACACGGAATCGGAGGCAGCAAGATTGATTCCAATAATGGATACCCATCGACCACTCCTATTCCAGCGTATGGTAGCACATCCTATATATACAGCTCTATGGCGACAGGACGACCAGGCAACGGTGGTGTCAGTTCAGTATCGTACACCCAACAGCAGCCGGTAAGCTCCAACGATTTCGAGGATCCGGGCTACTTTGGCATGCAAAGCAACGTACACCCGGCCTTTACACAATCCACCACAGAAGCGGTATTTGCGGTGCCTGCCGATGACAAACCCGCCTTCCCTGGCTACTACGGGCCCACACCCACCTATCCGGCATTCTCTGTGCCCGGTGAAAAGATCGGTGCAAACATTGAAGAAGAAACCTACACCTCACCCAACGACTTCGTCAACTTCCCGCCCGTGCGCAATCCAAATCTAAACATGTCCGCAGTATCAAGCGCTGTGACTAGCGACCTTGAGCTATCCACGCCCGCTTTTGTCGAGGATATTGTGCTGAAGGATAAAATGAACACCCTGGTGCACAAACTGGTTGCCTCTTTGCAGGGCAACTTCGAAGCTCTGGCTGATATGATTGACGATGCAAACAACACGGCCTCTACGTACCAGGCAGGAGGCGGTAGCACGACCGGTACACGCAAGCCCACCCGTAAGCCGGTGCGCGTGGCATCGACAAGTAGGCCCAAAGCAACAACCAAAAAACCTGTGACACGAGTGTCGACTAAAGCGCCCAACAAGAAGACAACAGTGACAACCCGCAAGCCTGCAACACGTCGAACCACCGTCGTACCTTCCACTACTCGCAGACCCGCTTCTCGAAAACCTACGCGCCGCGTTAGCTCGACAACTATAAGCTCCGCGCGACCCGCTGATGATGAAATTGTGGACGAGGAGGATGAAGAGGATGTCAATCCTAATCCTCAGGAAAATGAAATCGATCAGGGTGCCACACTCAGCTCGTATGGCGGTGCCAACGGACGTAAAATCCGTAAGTGTTGAGTGAATGAAGCATAGACAAGCATAGACCCGAAACAACTGTCTCTCTCACTCTCTCTCTCTCTCTCTCTCTTGTTTTCTCTTGTTCTTAACCCTTCATGCACATTACAAAACGTATCCAAATCCCAATTCTTCCCAATTGTTCAACAAAAATGTAGCGCGACGTCGCAAGAGACCTGCGCACAGGCACCAATAATAGCACATGTCATCCAAATTCCTTACATCCATTCCCTAGCGTAGTCATTGAACCCTTATCGTCACCCAGCCCTAGTCATCAATCCTTGAATCAACCACCCACCCCGAAGAACCAACACGCAAATCTCTCACACACAAATGGCTCTATAATGCTTAAGCCCTCACGCTGCCGCTCACTCTTCTTGTCTCTCACTCGCTTTCTATCTTTCTCTCTCTCTCTCTCTCTAAACACTCCCTACTCCTAACCTCACATTTCACTCCCCATCTGCAGAATGCGGCGTACGTCCACATGTCAAGTCCGGCCGTATTGTCGGGGGCAAAGGCTCAACTTTTGGCGCCTTTCCCTGGCAAGTGCTGGTGCGCGAGTCCACTTGGCTCGGACTCTTTACGAAGAACAAATGTGGCGGCGTCCTGATCACCAGTCGCTATGTCATAACAGCCGCGCATTGCCAACCGGGGTAAGTACGCGCCATCCTTGAGTATTTCGCAATCCATAACATGTAATATTTAATTTAGTTTTCTGGCCTCACTGGTGGCTGTTATGGGCGAGTTTGATATTTCCGGTGATTTGGAGAGTAAACGTCCAATTACGAAAAATGTCAAAAGCGTCATTGTTCATATTCAATACAATCCGGCCACCTTCGAAAACGATTTGGCTCTACTCGAGCTGGACAGTCCAGTGCAATTCGACACACATATAGGTAAGTCTATATAATTAGCTTCGATAATAATATACTTGTAGACTTATATAATACTATAATAACTATAGAGTATATCTATATACAAAATCCATTTTTGGTGAATTTCTTTCCGGTTAAAATTCAGCAAATATTTAACACGCTCAATTTCGATTTGCAAACAAATTAAAATAGCATAAACTTAAATTAAAGCTTTATGGAAAAAAAGTGCATTAAGTAATTAAGTATCTTCTTCTTAGTATTATAATATATATACGAGTAATTGTGCTTTTTAAACAACTTTTTGCACATAATTCTAATAATTATTGATTCACACCCAGAGTCAATAATCGCTTGGCATGCTTTCCACCAAATCTTCAGCATATTCGATTGGAAGCGACTCCTAAATTTGCTAATTTTGACAGAAAAGTTTCTGAAGAGTAAATATTCGTTTTCCCTGAAGCCTATTGCCCAAACATTTTCAATTGGAGTGGCATTCGGGGTCTGTAAAGGTCAATTTATAGTGACGATGCCATTTTGCACCTTCCAATTATTGTAAAGGCGGCTGCGATGTTTTGGATCCATTCCCTTGATTTTCCCAGACATTGTATAACAGGTTTTGTTTAGTTAAAAGAAAAACGCATTCTAGTTTAAGTTCATAAAACTATTTATTGAAAATGAGAAAATCAATAATAATAAATCATTTTAAATGTAACTGCGTATATAATCTTGAAGGACATAAGCACACAAAACCAAAATAAAGTATATACTTGTATTAAAGCTTCCTATTCTAGAATTTTACAAAAGTTCAACGCACTTTGCGGTAAAGATTCAAGTATTTACTCAGCATTGATTTAAAGAGCGTACATTTTATCTAGCTTTGCAAATACACATGACTTGACAACAGGCACTTGGCAGGAGCAGCTCAGCTCCTGGTCCTGGCAAATCGCTGCCTACGCGAAACGTGTGCTCAGAGCTCCTGTCGCGCATAAATCATATGGGAAAACGATTTAGGCACACAGCTACACAAATTCATGTTGCGGGATTTTTTATGATTAGTTGAGCAGAAGGCTTCCATTGAAGTCTGAATATTTCAGGAGGCGTCGCTGAGCATATTTAAAATACCTTAAAAATTCTGGTTTATTTTTGCATTTTATAAAAATAAAACTGACACTCACATTTGATGGCTTCCGTTTTACTTTAGTGCCCATTTGCATGCCCAACGATCACGCGGACTTCACGGGCCGAATGGCCACAGTAACAGGATGGGGTCGTCTGAAGTACGGCGGCGGCGTGCCCTCCGTTTTGCAGGAGGTGCAGGTGAGTCTAAGCAAGCAATCAGCAGTCGCACACTTAGTTAATTAAAACTTGATGTGTCACGCAACAGGTGCCAATTATCGAAAATAGCGTCTGCCAGGAAATGTTCCACACCGCTGGTCATAATAAGAAAATACTCAACTCCTTCCTGTGCGCCGGCTACGCCAACGGACAGAAGGACTCGTGCGAGGTACTTAGTTTTATTTTTTCTCTAATGTAACGACTCAACTAATCAAACTTTTGCGTCCGATATAGGGCGACAGCGGTGGTCCCTTGGTATTACAACGTCCGGACGGGCGGTACGAGCTTGCCGGCACCGTTTCTCATGGCATTAAATGCGCGGCGCCCTATCTTCCTGGCGTTTACATGCGCACCACATTCTACAAGCCCTGGCTGCGAAGCATAACGGGTGTGAAATAGATGAGTAGGCACATTCACGGAACCCAATTGTAAATACGTAGAGCTAGGAATGGTCATGGCAACGGATACATCGAAGTGAGCAAGATGGGAGCAAAGCCTTGTCACTTTTCTTTTACATCACATTTCCTTGCATTTCAAAGCAATCCCTTCTCCTCCATACTGGCACCTTCCCTTTCCTTTCAGGCACTCAAACATTTAGCTTAATCCGACCCGCATCCACACGCCCACACGCCCACACGCCCACACAAAGCTACATCGTCAAGTTTGTCACATAACTTGTCTGATGATAGAATTAAGGAAAATTCGATCGCCTGACTGATTACGGGCGTTTTCTTAACTATAACATATGTTTTTTTCGTATGCGTGCCTAAGTATGTAGTCTGAATGTAAATTAATTTAAGGCATATTTATTTTAGTGCTAAGGCTATTTATTAATTTATTATTGATTTATTTGTAACTGTTTTGTGCGCCCCTCACTTTTAATTCGACTAAAAACTACACACGAATATTAATGCGAGTAATGCTTCAGGCATGAAAAATTGTTAATTTTCTGTCATAGGCAAATTGTTGTTATATTAAATTAAAGAGAAAATGTTTTTAGTTCAATTGAATTTACTGATTATTGAATTTATTGTTAGTTGTAATTATTTATCTATGTATAGAATTGAAGTGCAACGATCAAAATGCGAATAAGCAACGAAACCGAAATAAATGTACGTAAATTAGTAAACTATCTAAACCTCTATTTATCTATATATACTTATAAGTGTATGTAACTGGGGCACAGGATATCAAACAAGGAGAATACATTGTGCTCAACGTTAATCAAACAAAATCTATACTACGAGTATATGATTGCATTGCATATTGTACATGCCATGCATTTGAAATGGCCTGGCAGTCCAACACGAACAATCAAAATTGTAAAAGGATAATTTCAATGTATTGCATACAGCCAATTTTTGCTTCTGTGGCAATGTACAAATAGAGTTGGATTTCATTTGCAAGGTTGGTCTGCGGGTGGCCTGCGGGTGGTCTGCGGGTGGTCTGCGGGTGGTCGGACCATAAATCTTTCATTGCCATTTGCAACAAAAACTTAAAATCAATATAAAGTACTCACGCGCTGCACGTTATATCGACGCGTCGGGGAATTCGCGTTTTGTATCATGGCAGCAATTTCCCACCAGCTACTTTATACAATTTCCGCTTGTCTCATACAAACTCTTTTCCCAATGTCAAAATATCCGTTAGTTAGCAGGAAAATTGCATTCTTGCAGCTTCCTGACCCCCCAGCTCAAGCACTGAAACTCATCTACAGCGTGCATTTTCTATGCGCTGCGCTACAGTTTTTCCGACCTTCACTTCTGCGTCATAATAAGGGAAGTAGTTCCCTACACGCACAGGTGCGGATTTTAGCTGCATTGTTCTGCTTGGGCAACGTTGCGTATGCGTTATGTCTATCAAATGGCTAGTTTTGCAAAAATTGCGCAGAAACAACTTTAAAAACCTCTTATTATTTACACATACCTCATCAAAGTTTTAGACATTGAAGCACAACCTTGAGCGCTACACTGCACTAATCGCTTCGACTTTTATGGGCTTGGGGCAACAGTTTCCACGAACAGCCAACTTTTCAGCTCATAAAGCATCCCCTGACAACGTTTCCGCAGCTGGGCGACCAGGAGAAAAGCTCATAAATATGTTCTGCATGGTTTGCAAATGCCGGCACTGTCGTTTGCAATGTCTTTTATGCATACGTATATATACAACGTATGTATACATGCAACAGCAACATAAACTTTTGAAAATGCGCATGTAAAGTTGCAACAATAAAGTTTCAACTACATCTCATATTAAAAAAGTTTTTAGTTAGTGCCGTGCCAAGGTAGCTTCGCTTTGGTCAGTTATTGTTTGACAAACAGATGCGCCGTGGGGAGAAATGGAGTTTGGTTAACAGGATATAAGCTCAGGTGAATGCAAGCAACTTTATGCGTATTACAGGATTTTCTACAACCCACTACCCTTTGGAAAAAATCGTAATCTATATATGTATATTATTATAAATTTATCATTGGTCGTTATCAGTAGACAATTGTCATAGAATTGCCATTAAAACCCCCATTCTATCTGTTTTATGAATATTTCCCATTCAATGCTAAACAAACGGTCTCAATTGATAGTAGCAATTGCTGCTGAAAAGGCGAAAAGGGGTTAATCTAATCGAAATAACCTTTAAACATTTTCAGAAGATATTGCTGTACAATGCGTACTATTAGTTGAGACGAATGTCGAATGGCTTTACTAGTTTGATGAACGCAATTTATCGCTTAGGCGACGAGTTAATATTAACCCTGCAGATTCATTTAATATTCCTTCTTCGCCATTGCAGCTTTTACTTAATTGGAATTATTTTGTTCTACTGAACTAGTAGTATAATATAAATATAAATATTTGATAAACAACTCAAACTTACAAAATAATTATATTAATTTGTTGTCATTATACCCTGTACCTGAAAGAGTTCATTAGGTTTGCGGAAAGTCAAAAATGTAACAGGCAGAAAAAGCCGAACCCACAAAGTATATACACGTATATTCTTGATCAGCATGACAAGACGAGTCGAACTAGCTCTGTCTGCATGTTCATTTTATATACAGATGCCTTATGTGCGTATTCAGCACGAGTTTGTTTTACTTTGTTGATATTATTGTTGCTTCAAGGATAAAAACAGCGACGGCAACAACAGAACCAACGACCGCGAACCGCAATCCGCGTGACGTCAGCCAGAAAGTAGCCAGTATAGGTTCGTATATGTATGTATATAGTACTTGTACATAAATTTTGTGCCTTTTTAAATTGATTCACAGACGACACTTCTCACACATACACACACACACACACAAACACTTAGACATCATTGTGGGCCGAAAACGGAATGCAAGAGTTAGAGATTAGGAAGAAGCGTAAAGCTTTTAATTCATAAAAATGTTCGGCGCAAAAAGCTTGGCCGCGAAAGCTTTTTGCATAGCCAGCCGACAGGTGTTGCCTGCGAAATTCCGCCTGTATGCCTGTTTGGCTCCTCGCAGTTGTGCTCTGTGGCAGTTGCGGAAAGGACGAGCACGCGCAAGGTACGTGTTGACGCTCGAACTCTGACCCGTTGTGCCGACGGCGCCGCGCAACGCGAACAAACTGTGTGTAGCAATCAAAAGGGTGCAGCTTGTGAAATTGGAAGCTATTGTCCTAGCACAGTTAGCCGAGCATGTAAGTGAATGTGGCGTTCATTGAGTATCCCAGCCCCTCTCCCCCTCCATATAGTTATTCTGCTGCTAAATGTATGTGCGCGCAGGATGCACGTGCAGTGCTGACGTGCGCATATTTAGTTCCTAATTACACATCCATTTGCATAATTATGCATAAAACAAGCACTGTGTTGCATCTGCCTGACAGCGGACGCTGTTTGTGGTGGATGGGTATGTCGCTGCAGGCGATGCCACGCCTATGCGCTCTAGAGCCAGCACTTCAATTTATGCGACACCAGCAGCAATGGCCACAAATACCTGTCAGGCAGTACACGAGTACTTATGGCCTCATAATTAAAGCCGCCTCAATTAACTTTTGCAAATGAAAACTCATTCGACAGCCCGTCAGAAGGACGCAACTGAAAACTCATTTGTGGACAGCAACCTTCCTCCTGTCGCTTTTCCCACAACATGTGGCAATGTGGGCGTGTGAACAAACGCACCCAAACGCCTACATACACATACACATACACATATACATACATACATATTTTATGAACAGCCCACAGTTGCGAGGTATTTTTAAAAACTTATCCAATTTCTTAATATTGAAGTGCCTGTGTGGCCTTATGTTTCTGTTGCTCTCATGCAGTTAGCGCCTTCTTCGCCTCATAGTCATTTGCCGGGTATATTAAGGCTCGCATTGTGATGGCTAAGTTGTCCATTACACTGCCAGCGTTGAAAGCTGAAACCGCGTTAATGAGCTGCTTAAGAGCTGCTACCAAAAAAGGCAACTGAGCTTGCAACACTTGTTCTCCCATTCTAGTACCTTGAAACTTTAAGCCCCTTAAGGTGAAAACGAGTCATCATTGCAATAGATATTTGGCCATTATCTCACAAATATGGCAATTTATACTTGTACAGTCTAATTATAATAAGAGAAGAGAAAAGGACCATCACATAGAATGATGAAAACAAATAAAATTTAACATTCATTTATTCTATCATTGGTGTTATCTGCGATGACGCGGTGTAAATATTAAATGACATTTTTGTTGATTTTTTCATCTTACTGTTCTCTAAAGCTTTAGATACATTTTTGTTGCCTATTGAAAATGTTTGTGGTTTTTCATTTCAATAAGTAATAACTTTGTTGCCAAGTTTCAACAATTGATTCAGCTGCTATAGGAACGATCATTTAAAAAATCACAGTTAGTTGAACAAATTATTTGCTTACTACGATAACGTATCTCATATGATACTATTTTTTGTATTTGATTTTATTATACAAGTATTGCTGCCAAAAAAAAACCATTAGTGCAATAAAAGTATTTCCACGACTATGGTGGCGAGAGGGGTCTACTTCTCACAACTTTATCTTTCTTAGACTGGAACCAAAGAAGCCACCATCAAAGTAGCTTTGAAGGTCTGGCATTTAATTATGTCGTAGGAAAATACTTGCATTTTATGGCTATGAATTTGAACGTCCTACTTGTATTTTATTAATGTCTTATTAAGCCCTTGCAACGGATACATATCGTTTTATTTGATAGTTAAAGCGTCCAAATGGGGCGCCTAAGATAAATGTACAAAAGTGATCAAACCAATTGATATAGTAAGTATATAAGTCTGTTTTTATGTAAATTAGGAAAGTTATTGTTATAGTGGTTGTAGTGTACGAGTACAATAACTATTTTTGTTTTATAATATGCAATAATCTACTTATTTCGTTTTTGAGAAGCTATGCAAAATTAGAGTCTGATGCGTCTACACAGAGATAACTTCTTTGCTAATTATGTTAAAGATTGTTGGAAAATTATATAACTTTCACTGTTAAAGCTCTTAATAGATATTTGGCTAGTCCACGATTCGGCATTAGTTCGGCATAAAAAAAAGGTAGTTCTGAGTCACGAATCTATTTCTCCAATATGTTTCGCATGTTCCTAACAAGAACTATATTAATTAAATCAAAAGCACTCTACATAAAGCAATATTTGACGGGTAGGCATAATTGACGGACATTTTTCAATTGAAGGTTGTCAAATGTGAAAGGTAAATGAAAAAGGTATACTTTTCAGCATTCCCTTAACTAACACATACAGAATAATAACCATGCTTCGATTTAGGGCTTTATGTACAAAACAAAAAAGAAAAAAAAAACTAAAAATGGTGCAGTGTGCATGGCACAAACAATTTTAATTGTGCTAGCGGGCAACATGAAAACAGAAACTTCCTAATTGGAAAAGTTATGCGACAAACAGTTAAAAGCTAGCAAAAGGAGATGTCTAAGTACAGACTGTTAATATTCAAAAGCAAACGCAAAAATAATAAAAAGCCACAATAAAATGGCAATAGTGGCGCTTTCGGCAGACAAATAAGAGTATTGCGAAGTTTTTATTCATTTATATTTAACAGGCGTCCACCGAAATTAGAGAAATCACATTTTCCGCACGACCTGTTCATTACGCTTGGGTTCAAAGGGTCCCAGAATAGGCAGCAACAGTTGAACGGCATACCAAAAACCCAAAAAGAAAAAAAAAAGACTTCAGGTTGGCTGTAACTGGTTGAGTTCAAAGAAATTGATTGCGTTCTAAGCCACTGTTTCATTTTAAATTGTAATTAATTGACATTTTATAATTGGCCAAGCAATGAGAATGTTTTCTCGCAACATTATTATTATTAATCATAATCCATTTCGAAGAGCACTCAACAAATTAACTTTTTACTTTAAAAGACTGCCTACACTACGATTCGTTTCATACCAAGAAAAATATTGTAGATGCTGTAGAAATGAAAAAAGTACCCTAAATAAGCCCTTATGGACCTATCTGTCTCTCTCTGTTTGATTTACAACTTTTTCACAGTCCTATAGCAACAAAAATCGAAGTATGAACAAGAATGCAATGCTAAAGTCGAGCAGACTCAACTCTTCAATACCCTGTACCACCCCACAACAAAAAAATGTATTAAAAAAATGAAATTAATTTAATTAATTAATTAAATTCAATATAAAATATACCATACATACATTTACATTTACAGCAGAATCGTGTCTATGCGTGAGATCAGAAAAAATTAACAAACTCGTCCTTTTTCGAGCTCAGGACAATCTGGATACCAAGTTTGTTTATTCTAGCTCTTATACATTCTGAGATCCTTTGGGTACATGGTATAAAAAGAGACTTTCTGCTCTGATATAACAATGTAGTCATTGATACGATATGTTTTCAAAATAGTTTTTATAATCAAAATTAAGTTCACTGGAAATGTTTAGCCGTCAACATTTACCTATGAAGAGTTTTAAAATAAATGTGTTCCTTTTTACTAAATCGATAGAAGAATAAAAATTAAATTTCGTATAAAGCCTACATAGTGTTATATCTTAAACGAATACTATACTTGTATGCATTAAATTCTAGTAAAAAAAATGTCGACAAAATCACTGCAGCTTAGATTTAATTATCCTAATTTGTACTCACAAGTAATATATTCTTGGCGTGTACTACACATACACAGCATGAATGTAATTTTCTTTGCCAGAAGGCACGTGATGGGCAGGATTTTGACGCGGAAGTGCAGATTGTGGTTGTGTGTACAACGCACACTTTAAGCTACAAGGGACGTTATTACAGCACTGTTTACCACTTTGTCAACATTCTATAAATAAAGATGTAGGTATACGTGTCGCTGGCCAGCCCACCGAACGTGCTACTATTTATAGTTGTAGTATGTGGCAAACGTGGTACCATTTATAGTACGAAGCACTCCCATTATTATTATTTTTAACTAACTTCCTGTCCGACATTGATGAAGACAAAACAGGCTTTTAAAATAATTAGTTGGTTGGAATAAAAATATCCATTAGATACGTCAACTGTAATCGAAGAACGAAAATTAGTTGACGCTTTAGAGAACGATTAAAGCATTTGGAAAAACTCAAACCAAAACAATAACTTCGTTAAGTGTGACAACAACACTTTCAATATGACATTAGCTTGAAATTGTTGTACAAATAAATAAGATTTTGATTTTGCTTTTTATCCAAATCTTATTTTTCAATCACATTGTGTCAATGACAGCTTAATGGTGCACTGATCCGTCACGATGGGTCTGGACAACGCATTCAAATTTTGGGAGGAATTGTTATTGAAGCAGGCTGGCAAACATCGCGATATGGATGCATCAGTTACTGTGACAAAATCCAAAATGTTGGAGAAAGTACCAAAATCGAATACTACTCGATTCTATGTATGTATTCGAGTCTGTTCGTATCAATATGAACAGTACATACATATTTATGAGTGCATGATTTGCTTGCAATGCAAACACATGTAATACATATGTATAGCTTTTTAAGTATTTTAAATGTATAGAGAGAGGCTCAGAATTAAAAGTATATATTTATTAATTTTTTTCTAACAATTCCAAATTTTGTTTACTAAATTACATAATCCTTTTCTTAAAGAAAATATCTTATATAATTCATTTCCGTGCATTTCAAAATTCCCTCCACTAAACAAATTACAAAATATTTTTTAAATGTATGTAGATATATCTGACTTATAAATGTCCATTTCTATAAACCAAATTTACGAAGCAAGCTATTCTGGTCAGAGTAGATCTTGGCTCTGGTGTCATGACCGACTCGAGCTCTAGCAAACATTTTTATCATGTGCGAGTATGTTTGTATGTATGTTTATGAATACCTGTAAAAAAACTCACAATAATTAACGATCATATATGATTTTGGAAGTAGTGAATCGAACTTCTACCTCGTTTTGATCTCATTCTCAAACGACCAACCTTGTGCGTCAACCAAAATGGTATAATCATAACGAATACGAGTCGACACTTGCTCTTCTCTGATACATACAGAGAAGTGCCCTAAAATGTATGCTACACTTTACACTATGCCAGCACTTTTAATGGCGATTTCCTGCAAAGTGCAATATTCACTTACGTTCATATATAACAAGTGAACTCACAGTGGTAATAAAGATGACTATACGACCGCGTTTTAATGAAGCATCAAACAATATTTTACGCGTTTTACGCTTAATTTAAATGAGGCTATTAAAGCAGCTTCCAGCTGTGGCATCGTGAGCTTTACCTTTTAATGCACTTTAATTAAAGGCTATGCTTTCTTGTATAGCTCACACAGACCCTCCCCCGATGACGTACTGAAGTCCTAGATTGGCAACATTGCAATTATGAAAACCATTTTGGTTTGGGCTGCTTTGCTCCTCGGCCTTGCAGCACAGCCGGGTGACTCAACGTCAAGCTGGCCTCGGGCCTTGTTCAATCGCAATTCACGGAACTTTCTGGGACAACATAGTTTGGCAGGAAAGGTGGCTGGCGGGTTCGATGCTGATGAGACTGGCAATGTGGGCGCCTACGAAGTAATCGCTGATAATTTGAAAAACAATGGATATACCGAGCTCTTTGAGCCATATGCAGTGGAAAAGCAGGTAAGAAAAAGTTGCTCTATATTTATGCAATTCAATTGAAAGCTATTCCCGAAGTATTTCCACATAAACTGTGCTTCTCTTTTTGATTACTGATAGTAATGTGGAATAGATATGGTGGGGTAATGAATCGGAAAAGGGTAATACTTTCATACGCCCGACTTTTCATATAAAGTTGCTGATGTCGTTGTGGCTGCTTGCCTCGAGAAACTGCACGATGTTGTTATCACTAACGATGCTACAAAAAAGTGAATATCATTTTCATTTAGCGACGAAAAAATTGTAATGCTTAAATTAGACTGAAATAACAAATTGTCAGAGTCCTTTTTTTAATGAGCTGTTTGCTATCTTCAAAGGAATAATACAAATTTTAAGAGCATTTGCATTTTGTTTTCACTTAATGAATACTTTGTCAAATGGCATTTCATTTTTAATGTGTCATTTGCATACCAACGAGTTGCAATTATCCAAACCATACATATATATGTATATGTATATGTATATGTATATGTATATGTATATGTATATGTATGTATGTATGTATGTATGTATATGTGAGCCATATATAAAGGCACACACTTCTGTCCACATGCTGTGAGCGCAAATTGGAAGTGCCATGAACTCGTGCGTTGTGTCCGGGTCGCCATTTGTTTTCAATTAATTTCGCAAAGCCAGCTAAAGTTCAAAGTTTGCGCGTAGCGTTTTAACAATAGACGTTTGATTACGTGTGGTTTTTAGAGGGAGTCAGAAAGCCCAGCTAACAGTCAATAAGAGCTCCGTCAACATAATACTCATACGCATAGTATTCTGCCCCCTTTTTCAGCCGCAGCTGCAGGAGCAGCCCGAAGTGTACGGAATTGTAGAGCCGCTGATTGAGGACACGCCCTGTGCCAATCGAGCCTGCCTTGTGAACGATGATTGCTGCCCCACGGGCGTCTGCGTCAATACGTATGGTGGTGCGTTAACCCTTACGGTCAAATACTTGTTGATTGCCAATTGAAAACACTTATTTCCATTGCAGAGGGGAAGTGCATCTACGTGTACGGACGCAAACGAGATGAGTGCCAGCACAATGCGGACTGCGCGCCTGGTAGCGCCTGCATGCCAGATGGAAGCTCCTGGCGTTGTCAGGCCACTTCTGCCGCACCACCATCCTTCCTGCAGGACGTTTTTGGGCTAAAGAGACCACTGGGCGGCGATTGCAGTAGCTCGGCTGAGTGTCAAGTCGCAAAGTAAGTGTGAAATTGTTGACATCGAGAGCTTAGTTATGCGTTCTTCAAACTTTCAGGGGCATGTGTTGCCAGCAGCAACGAATTCATCATCGAGTCAGAGCAAAGTTTAGCTGCGCATATTTTCGCGATGCCTTTGACTGCATTGACATGTTGGAGGTGGGTGTGGAGGTAAGAAATTGAAGTCCTTTTGATCTAATAGATTCCACTTGGTTTGTTGGCCAGCACCTTCAGGAAGTCTTTAAACATCGTCGAAACTAAGGGCCGGCAGAGACTCCAGAATCTCGAATTGCGAATGAAAGCAACACAAGCGACCTAAAAAAATATATAAAAAAATAAAAACTTATTTCGACAACAATATTGAACACTGACCTAAATTTTGAACATTTCAAGTGCAAATAAAACATACATATCATTCTTAAAGTTAAACATTGTACCAATATTAGAAATGAGAAAAAGGAGAAATTATTAATATAAGTAAATGGGTTTTCTTCAATATACGTGCATATCAAATTTTGGTAATTAAACAATAAATACTTATCTCAATTAATATTTTACTCGCATGTGTTTTTAGAAACATGTTATTTAGAAAAGATGAAAACTAATTGCAATCAAAAATTAAATACTGACTGAGGCATTCAATGTTACTACAGAAAGTATTATGTGCTTTTCACATCTAAATGTCAAATGCTGTCGACAAGCAAATCTATTAAATGTATTATGTACTATATATAAATATTCAATCATGTAGCAAGGCCCATAACCAAAAGAGAACTGTAAGCTTTGAGTTGCGCTGCTTTCAGTTAAATCAAGTCAAGTCAAGCTAAGCCGACAAACATGATATTTAATGTTATTGTAATGTACATTTTAAAACTCATAAATAAAATATAATGCACGAAAAAGGTGCAAAGGGTAAGCACCCGCAAAACAACAAACAATAAGTGTGTGGATTTCTTTTGTTGCGATAAACAAAGGTAAGACAAAATAAGCCATTGTTGAAACACATTAATCATCAGCTAAACAAAACGTATACTATACTATAAGCAACTGCAGTGCACTTTGAAATAAATATATTTCATTTATGGCATCATGTTACCCGCAAGTTTTTTTTATTTATTCATATTCGCAGTATTTTTTAACAATAAAAAAATAATAAAAAAAAAACTTAATGAATACTAACATAGAATTATAAAAAAAAAACAGTATACAATCTTTTTATGTGATACTACTAAAAAAATTTAATTAAATAAAAGGCCATTAAATATACATGTAATGATAATCTTATATGAAACATTCAAGTTAAAATCTAACAACATTAAACTCAAACCTCAAAATCGTTGTCCATTTAAGTGCCAAATGTTTTCAGTGACTTAAATTATAGGTATTGGGGGAAAAAAAAGAAATAAATGGACCTCTCCCTTAAATGAAGATGATAAATATATTCGAACATATTCTCATTCATTTTTGGAGGGGAGGTAAAAAAGCTAACTGATTTAACAATCATTGATTAACCGCGTCCAATTAACGTAGCTTCCAATGATATCTTTTTATTGCATTACATGCATTAGGAAGGTTAGAAAAAGCCTAATGATCTTCATGAATAACAAGGTCGTTTTTGATAATATATATTTTGTTTACTTGTTAGTACTCAATGTGAAACTAAGAAGTTAGTTAAAGGATATTTTGACTCCATCAATAATTAATTTGAATGCCCTTTTCCGCTCATCATATGTTGAGGACATGATTATAACGTTTACTTGTTTTCTACAGTAAACGATTTTTTCCAATGCTCGATACAAATCGACAAAGACACTTGTCCTCTATGCATGAACACTGCGATCTTCTTATCCAGCTAGGCTTACAAACGATATAGCCGTATTATTTTAGATAGCTGTCAACGCTACGATCCTTCAAAAAGAATTTATAGCCATAATGTTTATTCGAAGATCACAATCCTTTGACTGTACTACTCTTTAAATTGTTCAGATGCGCAGCTCAGAGGCAGCTTAAGTTGAAAATATGAACGGGAAATGGGCCGTCTGGGCCCTGCTATACCAAGAGACTGGCCTTAATTAGATGTTTTTTACGTGGAACGACAAGATTAATCAGAACGACGATCCAAAGTTAAGGTACTCCTCATGGCATGCCTATATCCATCCATTAATTTTATGAAATAAAACGCCGAAAGTTATGTTTTTACAAATATTTTTTTATTTAAAGTGCCAGTAAAAACGCTGCTTAAAGCTAAAAGTTAGACTCTGTTTACACTTTCAACGCTTTTGTTTTTAACAGTACACCTCACATACATACAAACACATGCAAAGCAAATCTTATTGCCTGCCATGCTCATTTCCAAGTTTTCATCTCGTCCTTTCAAATTCAATTACTGCCCAATACAAAAATTGTTTCCTTTCTCTTATTGGCATATCTATGTATACATATATCTACCGCCTGTCCATCTCATTTCTATCTTAAAATGACCCCAATAGAGAGGTTTCCCACACTTGAGCCATATGACTTAACCATTTAAACTGTTATATTTTTCTCGTTACACAAAACAAAAAGCACAATATTTAGCGTACATATGTTCACCAGCTTAATCGAGAGGAGATAGCCATTGTTCATTCATTTGCGCTTTGAATATAATGGTTGGTTGGAAACTGACACTTTTCAACAATTAGATTCAATTTCCGATTTATAGTTGGGGTTGTACAATCAAATCAATCAATCAATTAATTAATTAATCAATAGTTTGCTGGCCCATGCGAAAAGCGCTTTAATCTCAACGTAGTCTGCAACTTAATAAAACATTCATTTATTAATTCAGATATTGATTGAGCTTAAGCGTATTGCCGTTAAACAATTTTCAGGAATCTATGTAAATATTAAATTTCCATTGACTCATGAAACTTTTCCAATAGGTTGCTTCGTGTTGATGTACAAAGAGACTAAGGCCAACTAAGTAAAAACATTATCGTTAAGCGCGTTACAGTTAGATTTTTCGTACGACATTAATGAATTGAATGCTATTTACAATCGTTTACAATTACAGGAATATAATTTATATTTTTAAATATTTAAATTAGAGGAAATGGCGCGTATGCGTGTTCGTTAAATTAGGTTTAACTTAATGTTGTCTGTTTTGTTTGCCTAAATTAATAGGAAAATCAATTTTGCAGGCCGAAATTGCACGTTTAGTTGATTGTAAGCTAAAATAACAATACATTCAGCATACACATACATACATACAGACATATACATATATATCGTTATTTGCCGACGCAATTTAAAATGCTTACTTGTAGTTAATGCGTTTAAACTTTAAAGTAACATACCTATGAGTAATGTTGCTTGAAAATTGTGTGATAATCTCTCGCACATTTGTTGTTGGCATTGTAATTAGAAGTTGCTTCCTCACATCATTTAATCGTTCTGTAATGTGTGATGTTTTGAATGTTTGGTTTTGGTTTTGCTTTGCTTTAATATTGCGATAATCTCGGTTGTGTGTGTGCGTGTGTGAGAGAATAATTTAAGGAAACTGACAGTAACCTTTATGCTTAACTATGGAATACGGAATATGGTTTGCTCTGATCGTCAATTGGCTTGTTTATTACAATACATACATAACAAATATTGATAAACCTTTAATTCCTTTTAATGAATGTTTTATTTTAAAAAGAACACAATTTCCATGTTCATTACAATTGTTTCTTTGTAATTCCTTAGACGACTTTTAATTTAAGATACTTTCACTTATGACTACGTAAAATAGGAAGAACAAGCTTTGGTTATAACAGAACAAAAGTTGGAACGTTAATGGGGTGCGGTCTGAATATTATTTCAAATACAGGTAGTATTGGCAATATATGTTGTGTGTGTGTGTGTGTGTGTGCTTGTGTGAAATTATGCGGGTGGTGTTTGACAAGTTTACGACGATTTTCTGCAATCAGTGTGTGTATGTGTGTGGATTTGTGAGTTTCATGCAGATCGATACGAAAGGATAACTAAAAATAACTAGGATACAATTAAAGATTATAGCTCGGCTAGGGAGACAACAATTACACAGCAGCTTGGGCGTGGCAAGGGACGCATGTCAATGAAAAAGTTGATGTTTTCATATAAAACGTCGAGGATTATGTGGTAGTTCTTGTTATTGATGTGTATTCCTAAAAATTTGTCTCTTTAATCGTACATTAATGTATATGGTTGGTGTTGTTATTTTCGGTGCACATTGATATTACAGGTCAAAAGGCAACGCATATTACATGCGGCGTTCATTCTCGTTTTATTTAATATATTACTTTTATAGTTTAGTTTTTCGTTTCTAGATTTATTTTTACTGTTTTGCTGCTGCTCAGTCTTGTCGAAGTCTTTTACTGTATTTTGTATTTTCGTTTCGTTTTCATCGTTTTCCATTATTTGTGAACAGTTTGATATAAAAATAGTATGTATGTATAAAACGTATAGTACCCTAATTGATAGCACTAACGGCAGTGCAACGGTCTTTTTTTTATTTTTTTATTTTAATATTATTATTTGTTTACATTCGCACACGCAAGCCACGCCCGCGCTGGCTGCTCGGGAATTGGGGAAAATCTCAGCAAGAAAGTACAACGAAAGTTATATACAAAAGGCAAAAACTAAACTAAACTAATTAACGATAGCTGCTTGGGACCGCTTCCGATCGCAAATCAAACCAAAAGAAGCAAAGTCAAAAGCTTAGGAGCACCTTACAGCTAGTTATATACAAAGTACTCGTAGTGTGTGTTTGAATAGTTGGGATCAGTATTTCTTCTTTTCTGCTCTCTTTAGCGGTTTGCTTGTTGCAAGTCGTTTAAGGTAACACGGGGCCAGGTTACAGGGTACTTATGTACAACAAACGCTGAAGGCTCGACCTCCTGCTGAATTTATTGATGACTATCAGGTGGCATGCACATTAGAGTCACAATCAGTTCTTGACCTTATCCTCGGCATTGATGCTCGCCAATGTTTTCTTAATGCGTAGCGCAGTCAAGCGGGCCACAGGATTTGGATACCAGCATTCTTTCATCACCTTGGCCATGTTGTGCAACACATCGGAGGCGTGCCAGCGATTTGGTATATTGGGGCGGCATTTCTCGATGCACACAACCTGCAACATAGTGACAACATATTATTAGAAGACTCTTATTACTTATCATATAAGAATTAAAATGTGCCTTCACGTAATACTAATTGCTTTTTCTGCCATCAAAATCCGACAATCGATATCACAAACATAACGACTCATAAATAGATCTATGTTATCTACATATTTTCAAGAAAACGACTGCCATAATATTAGTTTTTAAATATGTTGATTTCCAAATATTAAACCGGACCTTTTTCATTTCCTCAATGCTCGGATCGGGCTGGACTACATCATAGTATGGTAATTGATACTCATCGTAAATCATTCCCATATTGCAGCGACGCGCAATCTCCCACAATATTAGCCCAAAGGCGTAAACATCGGCGCGCTTGTACGAATCAAAGTGCTGGGCATTCATGCTCTCGTCCAATACTTCGGGCGCCATATAACGTTTGGTGCCCACACGATGAGTGGAGGGTATGTCTACAGAGTCATCCTTCTCCACGTGACGCACAGCCAGGCCCAGGTCCCCGATGGCGCAGCTCAGATTCGACTTCACCAGAATGTTCTTCGACTTCAGGTCTCGATGAGCAATAGCTGGTTTTCCGCGTGTACCCACAATATCCATATGCAGATGAGCCAGACCTGTGGCTATGCTCAGCGACATATTCAGCATAGTCTTCGTATCCACCGTGTGGGTAGTTAGGTAATCAAAGAGGGATCCATTCTCATGGTAGTCTGTTACAAGCCAAAGCTGTGTCCAGGTGCCATTGTCTGTAAAGAAAAGTAGTTTGCAAGTCTTATCATCCAAAATTGTGGCATTAACAATAGTTCGCCCACCTTTATTATCCGCAGCAATGAAGCCCAAAATGTTCTCGTGCCGCAACATGACTGTTTGATAGATTTCTGCCTCTCGAAACCACGAACACTCCTCGCGACTGGAGAATATTTTAACAGCGACATTCTCACCGCGCCAACGACCCCGCCAGACCTCACCAAAGCGACCCTTACCAATAACATGGCACAGCTGCACCTGACGGGCGATCGAACGCTGCACAAGGAGCGGCAGACCAGCTACACAGAACAGAATTTTGGATTAGATTTATCATTTAATCAGTAACAGTTCAGATATCACTAAATGAATTTCGTTTTGGTATTTATTATTGTATTTTTCAATTAACGAACGAAAAAGTTCGAACTATACATTTTGCAATGCTTAATGTTTTAATCTCTTTTTTCATAAAATTTCAATCACCATTGCAGTCGTAAACGTTCTTAATTACTTACCTGATCCCGACCCTGAAGTGGTCATCTCAATAATGTCGTGTATGGTCGTATTGCCATTGAGTATGGGATCATAAACTGAATCCTCCTTCGCAAATGGCCGACCACTGGCCAAACGCTTCCTGCGCTGACAATAGTACCAAGAGAGAGTGCCCAACAGGCAGATGATCAGAGTGGCGCCCACTATGATAGCGACCAGTACCCAACTATTAAGCTGATGACTGGGCAGAAAATCTAGAGCGGCGTTAACACAAGAGAGACATTAGAAAAATACTAATTTACAGACGTTGGAGAGCGTGTTTATTTCAGTGAAAATTAATGGAAAATTGAAAATGTAGAATACGAAAACATTAGTTGGTGTGTGAGTGTGAGGCATGCCAAGGCAAAATATTATACAGCGTGTCAAGATGTGTGAACCATCATGATAAAAAGGCACAAACCAATCACATCCAAAGAAAGCATAAATAACAACAAGTGGTAGCCGGTGTTAAGATTAAAATATAGTTACGTGCGTTTAGTTTGAAGTGCAGAACATTTATATGTACATTACAGTCTAATGCTATGCCTTTACAAAACCTAAGCATAATTATCTCTAGGTAATAAAAAGTGTAAGTCTATTTAAAAAAGCAAAAGCAGATTTCATTAAAAGTACATACATACTTATGATATTTTGGATTAGCGTGACGCGACCTAGACTTTTTGTCATTAAGTTGTGTGAATAACTATTATCCTAAATTTATGCTTAGGAAAATATTATTGAGAAGAATTCGCTATAAATACACCTGCATAAACATTTATATTACTTCAAAACTAATTTCGTAAGTGGTTGAAAAGCTTTCGACTAATGGAAGATGTTGACAAATGTACTAGTTTCTCTATCTTAATATAATAAAATAATTTGATTTTCAATTTTACGGAAAACCTGCCAATTTAATCTGAAAATCAAAAAGAATCATTAAACCATTCAAATGGCAGCTATATAAAAAATTAAACTATGCAGTGTTTGAAACTAATCTTGGTTGAATGGATGAGATGAGTCTATTTGTCAAGTTTGGTGATAGCCTTCAAGATCTCTCATGACTATGCCAAATCCTTTTCTACCTGCTAATTAGTAGCGTTGGTATCCAAAACGCTTCGGGTAGAGTGAATATAAATATAATCATTGGAAATAGTCCGAATGAGCTCTCAGCGCACCTAGAAGCGTGCGGGCGTGGTATGTGTTGTGTCGGCGTAGTTATTTACAAACCTTAGCATACTTTGCAGCGCACTCCGCTTTACCATTCAGCGCACCATAAACTTAGGACTACACATACATATATAGACACAATAACTAAATACCAAAATAGCTATATAAGGGAATCAACAAAATATGCATACATACATACATATATACTACAGAGTACAGTCAAATGGCAATGGCCGTAACGCTGCCCAGACAACCTAGCCTCAAATTTGAACGCACTTGACAACAGACACGCAAGCAAACAAACAAACACACAAATCTCTGATTGCGCCCAAATGGTCATACATTCATACACTCTGTAAAGTGCACCCACACACAAATACATAGAAAAATGTGCAATGCAAATGAGCACAAACAAGAAGCAAAGCAAAAATGAAAATGCAAAATATATGAAAAAATGCTTCAGACGTCGCGTCAGCGGCGACGACGACGATGACGACGACTGAGCACAAAAATTTCGCAATAAATGAATGAAACGTTGATGACGGCGCTGACGGCAGAGACGCTGCAGTGCACATGAATGGGGCTACCAGCAGTGGCATGAATGAATGAGATGCATAAATAGAGGCAGACACAGACACAGGCACAAACGCATAAACACATACATTTACTTATAAACACAATTACATACATACATTGCACTGTCTGACTGACTGCAGTGCTCCCGCTGCTTTTTGTAAGAGCGAGGGAGGGGAGGGAGCGAGAGATTGCGGGGTGGAAGTGGGGCTGGTGTCTATGGCACTCAAGTGCCGTTCCAGACGAGCCTACTTCCTTTTCTGCCTTTGTTTTTGCGCGTTTTTATTTTTGTGCGTTTTTAACAAGTCAATGGTAAAGGTCAGCAGACGACTCAAACGCACGAGCGACAGGTGAGATCGGTTGACGATGGGAGGAGCGATTTTAGATTCTCAATGCGATATTTTTTTAGGTGCAGTCGCCAAATAGGATAATCCTCAAAATAAAGGGTTAAATCACAAATAACTATTGAGTCCATCCAGTACCCTTTAACTTTTCTACAAATTAATGGCAGGAATTCAAAATACGAGTATATTTTCGGCATGACTATAAAAATAATGAATCGCATTTTAATTATATACATAAATGCATAAATGCACGTTTACTGTATTGTAACTAAAATAAATAATTATAATAAAAATATTGAATATAAACTGACCAATATTCATTGATACCACACTAGTCTGTTGCTCAATGTTGTCGATCACTTGTTCAATTTCAACATAAATAGCTCCGTAATTAGCTGGTAATATGATATTCAAACATACAATGCGAGTTAGTAATGTTGATGGACGATGTTACAGTTTTCTTCAATTTCTTCGTATATTGTGGCGTTTTACCGTATAAACAAACATAAGACATTTACAGTCTGTAACAGTGCGTTATTTTAAAACTTTCACGTCTAATTTTCTCTCTTCATTTTAACATTCATAATATTTTCATTAATTAATGGAAATGCAATGTTATTGGTTCAAACAAACATTTAGGGTATAATTCAAACCTGAATCGCGCATTTAATAACGGAATGCAATTTATATTATTACAAACGAAATTTAATTATCAATTGTCAATTAATTTTCGGGAGACCACTTTGAAAAGTTTTACTTGTAAGTTGTTTAACACTTACGTATGATACATAGTAAGAGTACTGAAAAATATTTGACAAATGTAGTTCAAAAACGAGCTAAGAAGTTGGATACCCGCACGTATACTAGAAGACTTGGTTCAATGTTTAACCGCGATAGTTTTAAAGCTTTGGAAGAAATTGTAATTAAAGTAGACGGATGGACATTGCAATTTCGACTGGTTTTATCAAGCTAATTTTATATATATAGTTTATATACGAGTAGTATGTATGTAGTCCATACACCATACTTCCTTAGAACAAGCTCGATGTACCTCACGCTTGTGAGTATTGGCTAAATTAATCTTTGCCAAGTGGATTACTGACCTCTTTAAAAATTGCAATTTTGCAAGTTTAGTTTATAGCCTAATGTAGCCAATTTTATTCCATTCATTTAACTGTATACCGCCTATAAACATTATCACTAATGGCTTTTCATTCCTTCGAACTTAAGTGTTTGTAATGCAAATGTTTGATTATGAAAATGATAAATAAATCAAATTCATAAACTGTATGAGCGCTCTCCGGAAATACCAATTCTTGTAACATGGATTTGTTTCCATCCATGCGATACAAACATCATGGTAGATGTGTGATACCCTTTGAAAGAGAACAAGAAACAACACGAAGGAGGGCAGAGAAATGTTTTGAGGACGAACAACGCCAAAGTGGATGGTAAGGGGGAAGGGCGTTAAAGCATGATAAGCACTGCGCAAATGCATTTGTGCGTGTGCGAATGTGTATGTGTGTGTGTATGCGTTCGTATGTGTGCGCATTAGTGTTGTGCGCGGCTTTGTTTTGCTACAAAGTTTTCTTTTTTGGCAATGCTTAACAAAATGCAAATGGTGCAATGACATGGGCGTGGCAGGTAATGGGTATGTGGGATGTGTGTGTGAGCGTGTGTGGGGTATTCGTTGTTGGTGTTGTTTTTGTGCTTGTTGTGGTAAGCAACTCTCACCTGGTATGACACCATTGTAATTATCACGCGTATTGCAAAAATCATCTTCGCAACACTTTGTGGAAGAGGTCGGTGTTTTATCATGACACCAGGCGGGATCTTCGGGTGGTAAGTGGTTTTCTAGGTGCAGGCATCTACATACACAATTATTGTTGTTGGTTTTGTTGGTAGTAATAGTAGTAGTATTTTGAGTAGGTAGTATAATAAGCTATGTTATGTAGAACTATAGTAGTTGGTAGTTGTAGTTATAATTAATAAAGTACAAATAGCAGCAAGATTAAGACGCACTAGTTGTTGCTATTATTGTGGCTGTTGCTGTTGTTTTGCTGTTGATCAGTGCAGTTGGAAAGCAGCGAATATCGTAGCTATATATTGAGCAGCTATTTGAGCAGTGGGTTGGCGGGGGAAGTATTAGTGTATTTGTAAAGCCGGCGACAATTCGTTCGAGAAGTTGGAATATTTGCAGGGAATGGTGTATAGAGGGTATAAGACTATAAGCGAGCAATATTACAAGTGAAAAGCAGTTTCGGCAGCCTGTGTATTGTCTCCCTAATCTGTCCTTCACCAAAGATCGAGTATGAGACGAGTTATAGCAACTCTCAAAAAGTTTTTAGAAAAACATTCCTCGGGAATCAGCATAAGAGGCAAGGACCGGGGACTGGACTTCGGCAAAAAATTCGACTAAAAGAAACGAAGTCTTACACACAAAATGAGGAAACGATAAAAATCCAATCAGTAAATTCCACCAGACAAGAGTGAATAGCCCTACTATTCAGCGTATATTGTACACTAGATGGCTTTAGCATTAGAACCAATCGAAGATAAGTATTATTTTCAATAAATTCAAAACCATAGCGCAATGTTTTGTTTTGTTTTGTATTGGGAGTTTCCTTTGATGCAATTATGGCTTTAAAAATTGTTAATTCTTGTTCTTCATATCAAACGGCTGAATTCAACCCCTGGTCGGAATGTAGTATATGGAGAAAGTATTATTCAATCAATATACCTTGTTAAAATACTTTTTCCATCTAGTGTACACATTTCTACACTTTGTACAAGAAAAAATGTATCTACAATAAGGCCCAAATATCGTCTCATACATTCTTATATGGACTTCAAAATTCGTGACTACAAATCCAAAAATCGCAAAAATAATTTGCATGCAAAAAATTTTGTTTTTTTTGTTTTATCGTACTAATAGCCAAAAAATGTATTGTGATTGTTTGCGTACTAGTGTTTACGTGTATGTGTTTGTGTGTTGTTGAGCTAAATGTGCAGTTAGAAAGACAGAAATAGGCAGGCAAGCCGTGCAAAAAATTAAATTAAAATAAAATTAGCCTTGATTATCAAACAAACAAAAGGGGGCCGAGCAGAGCAGAAAGAGGCGGCACAAACATATAGAGATATGCATGTATGTATAAAGTAAAAGCAAACTAAGTGCATGTGGGGGGAAGATCAAAATTAAAAATATAATATTTAATTTATAGTACACATACTAAATTGCTGTAAAAACCAAAAAGGCTATAGTTAATGTTAAGTTGTGAAATTGTTTTTGTTGTTGTTGCTGTTGTTGTGGCCAGACAAGAGTGTTCTTGTTGCTGTTGTTGTAGTGCATAATTAGCAAAAATTAAAGAGCGTGAAAGAGTGCGCTAATAGATTAGGAGCATAGAGTTTGTCCATCTGATTGATTTTGGGATTGTTTTTGGTTGTTTGGTTTTAGGGTTTTTGTGTTTTTGTTTTGCTTGATTGATTGATTGATATGTTGTGATATAGGTACCTTTTTCAAATATCCTTTTCATTAGCTCGTCTTTATTGCAGAAATCATCTCTACAACAATTAATTCTATACGTGGGCATTTTGTAGAGACTGGTGAGGCATTCGAGCGGCTCGCGATGCAAATCGTATTTCTTATCGAGGCAACTATGAAAAGAGAGGCGGCGTTTGTAACGGTAAATACAGAAACAGTGAGCAAAGGAGAGCGCATGAGCGAACGGGCAAGTCGTGGGTGGTTTTTGTTTTTTTTTTTTTTTTGTAATATGTTCGTTTATCGTTTGGAACGTACGAAAGAGCGAGAAGTAGGGTGGCAAGAGTAGCACAAAAGAGAGAAAGAGAGAGGGAAAGAGATAAAATATAACAATTAAAACAAATTAGTAAAAATGCATGAACACTGCTACAGAATTTGTTGTTGTTGCTATTGTTGTTGTAGCCTCTGTTGTTGCTGCTTTTTGACTACTCGCTAATTGAAATTCAGTCTGGTTAGTAGCAATCAAAAATATATAAAACTTAAATTGTTGTTGGATATGGTGGTATTTTTTTGTTTTTTTATCAACATGTGCAAAATTATTAAAAACTTTGCAAGCTGTTGTTGGGTTTAGTAAGGCTCTGCATTTAAGTTAAACAATTCATTGTTGATCTCTTTTGTTGTTTTATCAACTCAACGAGCATGGAAACAGTCGAACAAACAAACGAACGAACTAACGAATTAACGCAGAAACTTCAACGGCGTGCGTTATTTGATAGGTGAGGAGAGAGGGGGCAGTAGTAGTAGTAGTATGCACAAATGTATGTTTTGTAGTGAGATCTGGGCTGGCGTGCATTTTTGCGCACCTTCGTAGTAGGTCTGCTGCTGGTCTGGAAATGAAGACGACGAGAACGACGACGACGATGATGATGACGTTGCGTTGCGCAGCGCATAGTACTTAATAATGGGTCGCAGTTCTCGATTGCAAAAGTCCCGATCATTGCAACAGGCATGACCACCTCGTCTGGCGGCTGGCCTTGCGGTCGGCCCACCATGGCGACCATCGTTGCACCAAATGAAGCGACCAGGTGGAAAACTCTGCGACATGTTGAGACAGCTGCGTGTGTGCACAACACAAGGCCACAAAGGCGACCATAAACCATAAAGAAATCACATTTTTATGGTATTTTTGTGTGCGCGTAAATTAAGTTAATTGTTAATCGATTGGTCGTTCGGAGTTCTTATAACGGGACATTGTAACATAAGAGTATATTTTATGAAACTTACCTAAAACTGAAGAGAATCTTGCTATCAACATCCTTTTCCACAGACGTAAAACAATAGCCATCGGTTTCGCAAATGTGATTGCTATCCTTGCAAATGTCGCAGTGGCATTTAATTTTTCCTAAAAATAATTAAGGATTTGGTCATTGAAATAAATTGTTTTTTTCTCGCTTTGCTTAATATTTTTTAACGAAACATGATTACATATGGTGCCTTCTCGTTCTAAAATTATTGATGAAACCGCTGTAGTTAAAGTTAATGAAATTCCAGCTTAAAGTGAATTTATAACATTACGTATACGTTCTACAAGTCCTTCCATTCTAATATTCAAATCAATTTATATAAGGCTGAAAACTTGGTTTTTATGTTCCCTATATATTTAACTATTTGTTCGGGATTGTTAATTAATATACGTACAAATGTGTGTGGCCTGAAAAACATAGCCAAATAGCTGGCTTTCGGAAGTCTTGTTCTGTATGAACTTTACCATAGATTTGCATTATTTAAGTTGTTTAATAATCGTCTATCACTATAGTTTGTAGTAAATGCAAATGTACAATAAGAAACATCGTCATTTTAAAAGGTATCCCCATTCATCTATAAAACCAATTTCAAAATCGTCTTTGACAAGTTATGTTGCCCTGCTTTTTCCAAGGCATATGGCAGGTTTTTTGAAGCGCGCCCGCCAACGTGTGAAACGTGCAAAAACAAAACATGGAGAAACAAAGCGGACGAGCGAACAAGTGCAAAGACGAAAACAAATGTATAGAGATGGAGGGCAGAAAACCAGACGGAGCGCGCGCCGTTTGCGGGTAAAGACAATAAGACTAAGACCAGTTTTGTTTGCCAGACGACCGTCGAACCATGCGGCAGCGTCTGAGCTGCACTTGCAACCACAAGTGCATAAAATGCATACAAGTGGGGGTGTCTATTTAGGTGCATGTTTACTCGTGTATGCGTTTTTTGTTTGTGTGTGTGTTTGTGAGTTGTCTGGCACATTGACATCACTGACGTCACTCATCGTCTGCTGCGGCTGCCGGCTGGTCCGCCTGGCTGCACTTTAACACGTTCTCAGAACCGACAAGACGGGACCAGGCAAGACCAACCAAGAGGAGACGACACGAGGCGGGAAGAGCCGCAACGCTTAGTCCGTTTTCATTCAAAGTCTTTGAGGTGTTAAAGTCACGCGAGCATTGGTCTGTCTATTCATTAAGCGTCTGGCCTGATCTCGTGGCGGTTTTTTTTTTTCAACTTACTATCGAGTTTTTTCAGATGTGTCGGTCCAAATGTGGGCGATGACATTTGCGTCTGTGTGGCAGCTGGCGCTTGGGAATGGGCCAACATAATTGGAACTGCACTATTGTTATTGTTGCTATTGTTGCTATTGTTGTTATTATTGTTTTTATTACTATTATTGTTGTAGGTGCTATGGCTGCTGTTATCAGTCGGTGGCGCCGACATCGATGTTGTTAGATAAGCCGCAGCTGATTCGTTGGCATGTTGCGCGCCAATCTCGGCGGCTTTCTTTGTTGCAGCTGCCACTGTAGCTGGTTTTTCATTTAGTGACTGGAACCATGCATCTTTGGAGCTTTGCCCAGTCACATTTGTGGTATTTATGACTATTTCGATTGGTGTGCCTAAATTTAATTGAAAATAATAGGTTAGTTTCGCACCTAGGCCAGAGCTGCTACACGTCGTCTTTATCGCCTATGAACTTACCACAAACAGCATTGAGGAGCACGCTGAAGCAGAGCAGCCACAACAGAGGCTCTAAAACGTGCTGCGACATTTTAATTGTTTTTGGTAATCGCAATCGCTTGTTTACTTATGTACGTATGTATATGTATTTGATTCGTTTCGTATTCTCCCTTCTACTTTGGGACTTTTCTTTTATTTTCCGCACTACACACGCTTACAATAACAACAACACACACCCATGCACACGCACGCACACACAATCACAAGTTCAAAGTCTAGGAGCTGTGGCAGTGGCGACAAAGGAGAAGACGACAACGACGGCGGCGTCTCAACGAGTTGCAATTTATTTACTTGCGTTTACGCCACAAACAAAAATACGCAAAGGAGGCGGCGGCAGTGGTGGCGATGGCGGAGCTCCCAACAACGACTAATTTGCTTTGTATTGCGCATTTAATGTTGAGGACTCGCGCTGCTCGCGCAGCAACAAGGTTACATTTTGTTTGTACATTCTTTATTAATTAATAAGAGCACTTTATGCCTTTTAGCACATATTTTACGCGTTGTTCGCTACTTCTTGCACCAATAAAATCATACACCCAATTGGAAAAACTCGTCCCCACTTCACGCACGGCAGAAATTTTTCATAGGGTTTTCATCGCGCAATATTTGGACTTCAGCGGTTTGTTCGGCAAAAAACTTTTATTTCAAATAGTGCCCGGCACTTTGATTTGCAATTTTCACCAATTTATATGTATTATTTTGCTTTATTTTTGTGTTAAATGTGCAATTTTGCATACCGAAATAAGTCAGAACTTGCGTATAGTTTGCGAACGATTTAGCTCAAATGAACCAAAAGCTTATCGCTCTAGCTCAATACCTCGATAACAGCCGCGAACGTACGAAAGCTTGCCACCTGATTTGACTTTAAGGAATGTCGTGATTCGACTCGTGACACGTTGACTGAATTTTATTAATATGTTTAAGGATGATTAAACGAAATTATGATATAAAGTAGGAAGTTTATCCACCAGTGAAATAATACATGCTGCATTCCTCAATCAATCTTGATATTTGTATAAATATATACACATTTAAATTCAGTGTGATCCAAATCACATTATATGTATTATTTTGCAATACATCTATTTGAATATGGTCTAACTGTACTGTTCTTGGACTCTTTCGTAATTCAAGAACTGTACTTTTATCATATTGAAGCCAACAACGTTATTTTTTAATATGACAGAAATTTATTTTCAATAACTGCAGGTACTATGAAACTGCCAAAGAATTAACAAAACCACATCCAGTCAGCAGCCCACGACGTCTCAGTGTCGAATCCACAACATGACGAATTGACTTAAGATTTTACTGCCATAGGAGGCTCAGAATGGTAAGCGGTGGCATGCCAGGTTCGGCACCTTTGGAGAAACCTAAAATTACATAAAACATACGCACATGTTCATATGTACACACATAGGGTAATCAATAAAAACGAAGTTAGCAGCTGCTTCTTCTTCTGTTGCACATGTTCTGCCAAAAGAAAACACTTACCTAGGTATAGCACCATCGGCACGAATCCCCAATGAAATACTGTTTGCACAGCACTTACTACAACGCCAAGGCGTTCCTTAACTCCATCCGATAGAACCATTGTAATTCTGTGCTCTTGGACAATTTCTTTATGGAATAATAAATGCACAACAGCGATGCTCGGCACGGACTAAAAAGATAGTGTTGATAAATGCAAGAACACAGAGCATAAAACAAACTTACATATCAGATTCTTATAATATGTGAATCGTTTAAAAATTAGGTTTATGACAATTGGGAGGTTTGTTTTAAATCCCAACTTTTTCACAGCACACTAAAAGCAATAAATTCGTAAAATCGCCAGTTCAGGCAAAATAACGTTAGTGCTGCCAGATCAACATTTTTTTGTAAACATGTGGCCATGCAACCATAGGTGCCCAACGTTCTTTTCAGCCCTGTCAGTCCGTGTGTGGCACGCGTTCTTGCGAACATATTTTAATTTTATTTATTTGCAAACCTGTAACATTTCTCTACGCAGAACATAAATAACTGCAGCGGCAGACACACAAAGCAAACACTTTCCCCAATCAAATAACGTAAGTGATAAGAAAACACAATCAACTTTCTCGCCGCTGACATGAAACAATGAAAAAGAATAATCAATTTTTATTATGTAAGCTGGCTAACATTTTAAATCAATCGAAATATGTTTACTTGCAGTAAATTTTTGCTTGAACGGACCATGAAAACAACTAATATCGGATTGTATGCTTTCCGTTTAACCTTCGGTCAGGTGAGCAAAAAATAAAAAAGCGACAACATAACTGCAATATTATGCAGGGAAATTTTGGGGATATTTTGTGAGTACTGGGAATTTTCCAAATGATTTGTGAAAATACGCATATGCTTGATCGTGTTAATGTAATGGAATCCAGCTTAGATAATTATAAGCCCGGCGATTTATGTTTGGATTGCAAGGAGCAAGGTGTAGACAACAAGCTACGCTTCTTCTACATCAGTCTCGAGGAGCAGGTTCTAAAATGCGAATCCAGAACTTGTCTTTGGCCGCACAACGACGAAATCTCGTCAGATGAGGACGAATCACCCGCGATTGCAGTATTTAATAACTTTATCTCACCACCTCTGCCAGCATGCAATGAAACTGCTAATGCATTGCCTGTGACGCCACCAGAGAAGCAGTGTTCCCTAAATGACTTACGCATTTCGCCGTCCTCTCCTTCTACTAAAAGTAAAGATGAAAAGCGAATCAAACCCATTTCCAAATCGTTGTCAGCCCTTTATGCAAATGAATGTGCGGACACTTCTGTGGCGGAGCAATCAATAGATAATTTTAAATGGTTAAATCCAAACCTATCGGCCGAAAAGCAACCGGAACCGGGAAGCAACACAAATTACGACATTCCTATTACAGAATTTGACATTGAAGATATACTCGCTTTGCCCGAGTCTTCTGATAATTCCTCACTGGATCGTCAAGAAAGCCTGCGAGAAATAATGGAACTGCTTGCAGCAACCGGCAATGAAACTGCTAAAGCATTCCCTGTGACGCCATCACGAAAGCAGTGTTCCCTAAATGACTTACGCGTTTCGCCGTCCTCTCCTTCTACTAAAAGTAAAGATGAAAAGCGAATTAAACCCATTTCCACATCTTTGCCAGCCTTATATGCAATGCCGTCCACATCAGCTACACCTGAATGTGCGGACACGGCTGTGGCGGAGCAATCAATAGATAATTTGAAATGGTTAAATCCAAACCTATCGGCCGAAAAGCAACCGGAACCGGAAAGCAGCTCAAATTACGACATTCCTATTACAGAATTGGACATTGAAGATATACTCGCTTTGCCCGAGTCTTCTGATAATTCCGCACTGGATCATCAAGAAAGTCTGCGAGATATAATAGAACTGCTTACGGCAAGCTCACCCCTGAAACAACCACCATCGCCTGCCAAAACCGAAATCGACAAAGAGCTTATAATAGAACCGGCATCAATAATCCCTCGGCACGGTTCTTCTAGGTCAAACATATTCGTAAAGCCGCGAAAGGCGTCGACTTTGACAAAAAAGGAGAAAAAACCGACAAGAGATAACTTAAACATAAACGTGGTGTTGAAATCATCTAATCCCACTGAAACAGAAGGAGATGACTCTGTAAGCTTAATCAAAGATGAATCAGAGGCATCGTCTAAGGCGAATCCTTCAGATATGCCTGGGACCGATCTGACGCCTTTTATGGCCGCCATAAATCGACAATCTGAAAATACCCGTCGTAAAATTAGCAATCGACGCAAACATAGCTTCAATAGAGGCAACAATCCTGTCGGCGCAGCGGCGCTAAAGAGTCTGATAAATGACATCGAAAGTACCAGACAAGCGGCTGCCCAACAGACCAAGAGCGTTCAAAAATAGGTTTAATTTAAAAGAAAGAAATTTCCGCGCATTTCATTTTAAATGTGTGTGAGTATATACAATTCTATAATGAGAACATTAAATAGAAATTGTATTTTAAAATAGTCGAACCTAATTAAATTGAGTCACTTAAATTAATGAGCAATTTTCCATAACAATTGTTTAGTTAGCATTCCTTAAATAAAAATACCTTCAAATTTAGAATGCGCTTTATATTGATTATCTTGGGAGACTTAATAAATCTACTGAGCAATTTGATATGGTGCTTAGAATGGAATGGAATTTCGAGTTATCGAAGTTGGACTGTTTATTATTCTCGTACTATATATTAGAGAATGGTTGCGACTGATAATATATGTATATATACATATATGTACATTATGGCACGCGTCCATGGCATGATGTCGGATCTGATTTAAATAAATGCTGCGTAGATAAAGCTATCAGACAGCTCTGGACATTGAAACCAATTCACGATCAATGTTGGGACAACCTGTTCGAATAGATTTAAGCTATAGATCCCGGGTGTTACAGTTATATTACTAATTGACTCTTAATGTAAAAATTGAATACGCTAGGATCTAATACCCTTATCTACCTGGTTATGATGAGATATCAAAACATGCACAATGGGATGAAAACACACGTACTCGGCTTATCAACAATGTGGCTTACCGCGGTGCGCTGATACGTCACACATTCCGACGTAAAAACTTATTGCGACTTTGACAATGGCATGTAAATATGTATGTGCATACATACATACTTTATTATGTGCGTAGGGCAATGCTTTGATTAAAAAGAATGCAACACCCATATTATGGGTATAGTAGGCCGTTTATTAAAGGCGTACGTCTATCAATTGATGATTGACGGTGGCGCAAGAACTCGCATAACATCTTATCAATTCCAATCGCCTACAGTTCGTTGAACGTAGACAGTACGAGTATTACCCCTTTGGTTCGAGGGTGTTCCACTTTCCGTTGCTAAGCACAAAATGTGCTGCGTAGTTGACGTCGCCGGCAATTACGACAAGTGGGCAGTGGGCCAAGTTTTTTCCTTGTCCGATCCGTCTAAAATAGAACTTGTAAATAAACAGAATGCTAAAGTTAAACGCAATCCATATCTAGGTGTGCTGAAAAGTGTATGTTTTTGATTTAAATTTGTGTTTTTAGTTTGAAAATAATAGTTTGCATCTATGTATGTATGCGGTTTATACATACATATGTATATTTTGATTTGTTGACAAATATTTTGCCTGGGGTTGTGCGTTTGTTGAAAACACACTCAGTGCGCATTAACAAATATAAATCATAACATATCCATTGAGACAATGGAATTAAGTATCGTAGGGAGGGAGCTTTGGAGGTTATACGAATAGGTCTCTGAGTATAGTTAACAAAAAGCATGGCTATTGAGTCTGACGAGATTATTAAAATGAATTATCAACAACCCAGAACTTTTCTCGCTAAATCATTGTGTACAGCAAAGAAAAGAAAAGGTCAAATAGATATAAGATTTTAATATATGGAAAACACTGGAAAATCTGATAACTACTCACTAACTAATAAAACGTTTTTTTTTCTGTTTCAGACGCCGCACCTAGCTGCGCAGGCCTCCACACACAGCAGCCATGCTTTCACCACAAATTCGTCGAGGCCCAATCGTGTGGTGACGCGTTCCGCTACCATGTTGGCGCTCTTTGGAATTGCACTGTCTTCGTTCAGTCTTAAGCAGCTGCTAGCCAAGAAGCACAACAAACACAATGCACTCCGCAAACTTTAAGCGGCACTGATCGCGGCTCTGGTAAATGCAGGCGAGCAACGACAAAGCCACAACATCCGCAGAAAAAGTCGATGCGTAGTCATGAACTGTAGCATAACATCCATTCATCTTAATCATTATAGTGTATATTTGTTTAAGTTTAGGTCAGCATATCGCACACATACACACACACACACACACGCTACGAAAATCAACTACAGGGTCGTGACCACAAGCTCTCCAGCATTGCGTCTTGCCGCGCTTGTTTTATATAAAACATTATATTTTATTTTGAAATATTGAAAACCGATTTGTGTTTCCCATCTGCATACGCATATTTAGTTATTAATAACTTCCACAAACACTCACGCACACACGCATCGGTTTTGCATATTTCCGCAACGCCCTTAACTAAAAGGAATAAATTTGTGATAATTCTGCATGAGTGTACGTATTATGTGACAAGAGAACACGCCAAAATTAATTTCGATTTGCAACTGTCTGCGCAATCAAAAATGATGTGATTGCTTTTTAGTTTTATTTTGTCGTACATCTATGAATGTGAACAAACCCTAAATACTTAGCTATGAATTTTATGTGAAGTCTAAATACATTTGAGAAGGATCTGAAAACGACTAAGGGGAAATCCAAAAGAGCATAATAGCATAATCAATAACAAAACTGAGCGGTAGTCTGTCGAGTACGATGAGCAAATGTACGCAGTATACAACAAATAATTTAGTTTTAGTTGAATTCAAAAATAAACTTATTGAAAGAAAAAACGCTATTACTTTAATTTAGAATCGGACTATGAATAAGTATTCGCATATCAAAGTCAGGCCTATTTTACCCGGGACAGTCTTCTGCAATGTATCTTGATCTTCATGTATCTTGATAAAAAGGCCTGACTTTGTGTATTGTTTCTCACTTGCCTACTTTAAATATTGTGCCTACATAAATTAATTCATATAATGTAAATCTATTATGGAAGAATCATTATGACGGTTTACTATGAGAGTCTCGATGCTTTTGCTGCTCCTGCATGCGTAAATCCTTTCGATGTGCTGCCTTCTGTGCACGATGTGTGCAGCGCCAGTGATGGATGGTACAATCGGCATCCGGATCGTTGTCGTCAACCAAACGCTCTCGTTGTCGGGCATCCCAGAACTGGAGCGTCCTTATTGATGGTAGTGGAAAATTTTTGCGAAGCAACATATCGTACACCCTGCTGCTAGCTGCATACAAGGCACAAGCATCCACCAAATCTGATTCTGGCCAAACAATCCGTTTGTTGTGTTGTATTTTATCGATCTGAGCTGATGAGAATATGGTCTGCAAACGATTACACAGCTGACTATACTGTCCTTCCGCCTTCTCCAGCTTCTTTTGCAGCTTCCCCATTGCTTTTACATTGTCTTCCTCAGCGAGTTTCATTTTAAAGTTTATTCGTTTTAGCTCAGTGCTGAAAATAAAGCATTAGTATGAGAAATTGGATATACTTCTTTTCACATTCGACATACTTCTCTTGTTCAAGTGCACTGAGATAGGCATCTGCATCTATCACAACTGTCTTTGTACTCTCGACTTCGTCGTAGACTTCATGGGAACCGGAGGTATTCTGAGTCTGAGTTTTTCCCTGCTTTCTATCGTACTCGTCCAGGAGCGCATTGACAATCTGCTTTCTTTTAGATACAAGAATTGCCTGTCGCTCCTGTTCATACTCCTCTGCAAGTGTTGAGCCACATTCTTCGTTTTCAATTGCAGTTTCGTGACCATTTTCGTATTGATCTGGTAATGGAGAGTCTGATATCCCAGTGACCATGTCATTATTGGGCGAGTGTTTTATCTTAGGTTCCGGATCACATTCGCCTGTCTGTAAAAACTCATCTTCATGCTCCTGACCATCATCTTTGTATACACTAGGTACTGCATTGGCAAGGAGAACACACTTTGAATCGCGGTCGAAGTCGACGGGTGTGAAGTGCTCTTCGCATACGCGCTCAACTTCCGTGTCGACTTCTCGATTACAGAAAAGCACCCATTGTTCCTGCACCTCCGGATCTTTGGGGAATTCAAAAGTACCCAAATTGGGTACCTCTTGAAAGTGATTCAGACAGTCTGAAACAGCACAAAGCATTTTATTCTAAATATTCTCGCACGCCTCACATGGATAGGATTCCGAAGCAAAACAAAACAAATTGTAATCATATGGTACGTCCAGAGTTGCCACCTGTCGCATGCCCAGTGTTGATGAACGCACCCACATTACCATATGATGAAAAAAACCTTACAAATGGATGACGTGCCCGTGCCACCGACAGGGAATTGTTATTGTTTTTGAACCGAAAAAAATTGTGTCCTCGCTGTAGAACAGCACAACAAATGCGGTAAACGGGATACATATCTGCTAAGCAAGGAGCCGAGTGCATAGAGTTCGTGGTCGGCGTCATCGAGCACATTTAAGTAGGAAATGGGCATCAACGTAAGCAGAAATGCCGATTTGGCTTCCAATGATTTGCTGTGCCGCCTCGTTGGGAGGAGGCACATAGCTGCTGATGACGAGCCCTATTGGAACGGCTTGCTCAACTACAACATTGTCATGCCGGAAAACAGGTAAGTTGTATTTCGCATTGTTGGTGGCTGACTCGCAATTTATGCCCTTTACAGCCAAGATCAGCTGAATCTGGACTCGCGGCTAGAGTCGCTGTGTCAATCGTTCATAAGCAATAATCTGAAGACGGGAAACTTTGGCTCGTTGATTACTGTGTTTCTAGAGAAGGCCACCGAGCTGTTGTCACTGTCAGATCAAGAGAGTAATATGCATGTGTGGCAGACCTTTAATGCGCTCTTCATAATACGGACGCTCGTGAAGTATATTAATGAGACGGGCTCGGAGTTTCAACTGTTGCAGCATTTCGAGGCTATGCCCAGCGAGGACATGTTACGGGCGGAGCAGGAACAGCCGTCTGCACCACCCGAAAGCGCAACTATAGCCATTGAAGCTACGGAAAAGTTGGGGCCTCCGGTTATTGTAGATGGGGCGAAATTCGAGACTTTTATTGATGCGCTAGTGAATCTTATTGTTGTGATACCTGTCAAGGAGTTCACTTATCACCTGCATATGGAGGCAGTCAACTCCATCATCACACTGCTGTCGGTTCATCTGTTTGCACAACAGCCAACGGAGAAGTCCATCGTCTTTCGAACCATTTACAAGTGCCAGCATGCTAATGTGTTGATGTCTGCGCTATTGCATTTTGTGTCGCGCATGGTTGAGGTGCCGCACACCATGTTTGGGTCCAGTTCAGCAGGCTCCTTTGTGTTTGGCATTGCCGAGTCACTGCTGTCCATGTTCACGTTTCGCAAACAGCAGGATGTGCTTAAGGCGAACAATGCTACTGGCGCAGAGCTCTCACAGCAGTTTCGAACACACTATCCGTTAGCTAATCAGAGCCTGCTTCTCATCCTGGTCCTCACTAATCACTACACGGCCCAAGATAATGCCTATCGCACGAGTCTTTTTAGCTGTGCAGATTCCAAGGATTCGCCGAAGGAGGGCAGTCAGGCTGTTTCCTTCCAAATAGATTTCTCGGCAGTCTATGACACGCTCTGTCGCATTGTTACCATCGATCAGGCCACGCTACTGCTCTACCTGCTGCTTCATCGCAATGAGCGTTTCTATCGGTTTGTCATGCAGCAGAATGATCTGGAACAGTTAGTTATTCCTATATTGCAAACTCTATACAACGCACCAGACAGCAATTCGCATCACATCTATATGTCCCTCATTGTACTGCTAATTCTAAGCGAAGACGAAGGCTTTAACAAGAACGTGCACACAATTGTGAGTGATAAATTTTGCCCGACATTTGATACGCTTCTCTTTATCACATTTTGCCCATTACAGATGCTAAAGAACATCACGTGGTATACAGAGCGCACAATATCGGAAATATCGCTTGGTGGCATTCTTATTTTGATCGTCATACGCACCATACAGTACAACATGCTAAAAATGCGCGACAAGTACTTGCATACGAATTGCTTGGCCGCTTTGGCCAACATGTCCGGCCACTTCCGAGCGCTTCACCCGTATGTTGCTCAGCGTCTAGTTTCGCTGTTTGAAACGCTAGCACGCAAGCATACGCGCCTGGATGCGCAATTGAAGGAGCCTGCCGATAGTGCCGTCTTCGTGAATGTATCCACCACTCCTGAGGATATGATGCAGGATCTCAGTGTGCTGGAGGAGGTGCTGCGCATGGTATTGGAAATTCTAAATTCCTGTCTGACCAACCAGCTTGTCTATTGCCCCAATTTGGTCTATACATTGTTGTACAAGCGCAGCGTTTTCGAGGGCTTCCGCAGTCATCATGCCTTTCAAGATGTTATACAGAACATTGACATGGTGAGTAGAATTCAATTAAAAGTTACCCTAGATTAAGAACTTAGTAAATTTAGCGTTTCCAAATGGTTTATTGTTTTAAAAAATTTGTTACTAAAACCATTTGCGTGTTTCAAATGCTCGTAAGTCACATTGGAAAAGTAAGAAATTTGTTTAGAGTGCAGATATAAGCAATACAATCCGAAAACTTAGCCAGAATATTTTCCAATCCATATTGTTAAGAAGCACGATTCCTCAGCATTATTAATTCCCCTAAATATATACATTAGTTTTGAATTTTTGCTTAGTTAGGCGGCTTAGTAGAAGCCCATTGCTCAGAAATGCGCCCAAAATCTGATCAATCTGTAAATTGTGGTATATATCTTACAGGTTGTTGGATTCTTCTCGTCTCGACTGCAACGCGTGCAGGAGCAACGGGGAGAGCTTGGCGTTAATGAAGTGCTAGAAGTGATATCAAAGGGCGCTAGCCAATGGTCCAGCGATCGATTGAGAGTAAGCTCCTGGCATTATGTACTATAGCTTTAAATCGAATACATTTTAAAATTTGCTGCAGAAATTTCCCGACCTTAAGTTTAAATATGTTGAGGAGGATGCACCCGAGGAGTTTTTCATTCCATATGTCTGGACGTTGGTCTGCAAGTACGGCTGTGTACACTTTAGCTCCGAGAGCATCAAAAGTGTCACAACAGATATTGCCTGCTAATATTGGCCCCATACACGGATTGTGGTCGGAAGGATTCACTTTAATTTGCAATATGAAAAAGTTCAGCTTTTTGCTGGAGCATGCACACACAAACACATACTTTTCGTTTAAGTCTGCGCCCTTTATATTCTAAATATTTATTTAACAGTTGGCATACGTGGTAGTTGTGCGCTGTTTTCAAATTACACACTGATTGAAGCCAAAAGGTCACACTTTAAGCAGCTTGTACGTTGACGATAAAAAACATACATGTTAAAAAATACTTATTACCTATCATAGTTTTAAACAAATCCATATGGGAAATGTTCAAGATAATAACAAAATAATTATTTTGCTACGCTAATTACAAACAAACGAGTATATAGTGAAGAAAATGTTAAGCTCCAAACGCCTATCAAACGATTGTAATAATCAACAACTATACAAAACATATTAAATAAACAAAATATATATACATATTATATATATATATATATTTACACAGTGTATGTTAGTTTAATATATAAATTATTATTGTATTTAGAAATTGGAAAATTCATAAATTAAATATTAACAAAACTGATGAATGCAAGTCAGGGGCTTTGTATTTTACTGAATGACTGAGTCGATCATGCTGTCTTCAATAGGAATGATTGGAAGAGCAAAGTTTATTTTGGATAAATGGCTGAGGCGATGAAAAGGATGGGTAGAGGGTATTTAATAGTTGGACTGTTGTGCTGCAGTAAATAAGGGACCATTATGGAGAGTATTATTTTATGGTCGATGATTTGGAACATTAATTATCGTCAGTCACAGCATTTATAGTTGCTTTTTTGTTATTGATTGATTACTAGAACTGGCTAGTCGTGATATTGAGTTGGCTTTGTGGTTTCTTAATACTATTGAAAGGCTAAACGAGTACACACTATTCGTATAATAGGTTTGCGTGAACGGAACGTGAAAAATATTATACAAGTATGTTGAACTATGCAAGCTCTGCCTATAAGAGTAGAACTCCTTTTTTCTGAGACTTGACACCCTCACTTCTTGATAAAATTATCTTCAGCTGCCCCGAATATATACTCATCCACTGTATCTGACATCAAAATATTTTTCATAATAATGAGTCTGACGCTTTATAGAGTAAAGATTCCGTACTATCTTATCTTTGAAGTAGTATATCGTAAATTAATGAAAAATTTATTTAAAGGGTAGGAGAAGCACCGTTCCGTCTGTTACGATTAGACGATTATAGTCTGAAGACTAGACTCTTCTGAATTTGAACAGATCGCAGATTATAAAAAATAGTTATTGAATAAATAAATTGATTCAATAAATATGTTCATTTTATTTTTATTAGGATATATTTCAGATATTAAATGATTTGCAAAAATTGATTTGAAGAAAATTATCAAACAGATTTACAATTTCTGATTATGTGATTTACAATTTAGTTATGATATGATATATCGATCATTTTATTATAAATTTTTAAGAAATTTGGTAAATTGTTAAGGGAAGTCAATTAATTGTTTTTGTTTTGTTTCCTTTTTCCCAAATCATATTTTGACGCCATTTCAGGGAGATTAGAGATATAAACATTCTTGACTCTCGCAAATAAGATCCTAGCGACGCCCATGCCATGGCATATGTGCAAGAGGTTGTCTTCAGCTCCTGAACAGTTAAAACGTCATCGTGTCCATTTGGCGACGTCCATTGATCTTTGCTCATGAAGGCAGATATTTACACTGTGCACACTATAGGACAGCAGCAGCAGAAAAAACAACAAAAATAAGTATAAGTATGTTGTGTTATTTCCCCCCGTTGCGGTGACTGACAAAAAAAAAAACAAACCCACAACAATGGGACAAAGAAGGGACTTTTACTGCCTACCACGCGAGGTTCATTGACATTCGATGCGGAGTCGAGCACTCTGGCTTTAAAATAGACATAGAGGCACAATCAACACAACAACTGCAACAACAACATTGGGTTTTTAATTGTGGTTGGCTGACTTTTTGTTGCTCTTGCTGTTGTTGTTGGTGTTTTATTGCAATTTGCAGTTTTCAGTTTGCGCGTGCTACGTGCTTTAAATAAACAAACCAAATAGCAGCAAAAATGAAAAGCAATACCAACTAATAAAATTAATTTATATTTATTGTTTATTTCTTTTTTTTATATACATATGTATGTATATGTATATATTGAAGCTGCTTACGATGCGTATGCTTGTTGTTGTTGCTGCTTTTGGTGAATGCGGAAAATTTTCATTTGATTTTCGCACGGTATGTTGCTATTGTTGTTGTTTTTCTGTTGTTGTTGTTGTTTTTATTGGGTGACTGCGTGCGCTTAGCGCATTTTAATTAATTTTGCCTCAACATTTTTTCAAAATTTGTTGTTTTTGTAGCAATTCGATGCATTCGATGCTGACTGGGTTGGTACTATTGCAGTTCTTGTGGCTGTTGTTGTTGCCGTCGGCGCATATGCAGGTTAAAAAAGTTTATTGACTTTTAGCGCCTGCATTTTGTTGTCTATTTGTTTTTCATTTGCTGGGCTAAGTATTTCCCAACAACATCCACACATACACACACATACATACATGCATGTATCAGGCGTTGACGTTGCAACAACATTCGCTTGTCGAATGGCATGAATTTGAAAATTACGAGCATACATACATGTGTAATATATGTACATACATACATACACACATACGTATGCATACTAAGTACGAGTATACAAGTCTGTAGAATGCTCTAGAACGGTCAACGTCGCCATCGCGGTTAGCCAAGTTCGCAACCCAATTACGCGCCGCTGCGCTTGCGTGCGAAAATGTTTTCGAATTCGACTTCCCTCGAATTTGTTTCGATGTTGCGCATGCGCCCCAAAGCCAAAGACCAAATGCGAGACTAACGGCTGCTTGCACAAAACGTGCGCACCAAATATGTTGAAGCTGGCGCCTTTTCGCATTCGCATTCGATATCTTTAAATTACAAATTACAAATTACGAATTGTATTGTGCAAAGTTTGCCTCCCCATTGTGCATTAATAAAACTAACAACAAAATTATGACATAAATTTTGTGTTTAGAGCAAAAAAATAAAACAACAGAAAACAGCGCATTAGCTGCCGGTCGCCGGTAGCCATAGATGGTGATGTTGCAATTTGTTAACGGCAATAGTTATACAGCTAGTGGGCCCGCATTTCGATTGGCTTGCCGGTCATTGATCCAACGTACTCACACTAGTACATAGATACATATGCTCGTACATAAATACAAACGTACAAAAGCGAACATCAAACGTTAGCCCGCACATTAAGTAAAAATTTGTTTTGTTTTGAATTGACTTGACTTGGCCTGAAGCCAAGACAAAAATGGTAAAATGCAAAAATGCCAGCCTATCTCTTGAGCAGCTATTGTCCCAGCGGCCCTCGTTATGTCTCCAATTCGACTTGAAGAGACCCAGACACACAGATAGCAGTAAAATTATGCATATTGTTAAGTTGTGTGCCAGCGCGAATTTGTGATTTTTACTGCATATCTATTTAACATAAATTGGCACCTTTCAATTGTTTATGTTTACCTGCTTGTTGACTATATTATTATTTCATCTTTTTTGTCGGCTATACTATGTAGTTTTGGCCCGGTTTTTTTTTTTGTGGGCCTGAAGTGTTTGTGCGTATTTTTACCGCTCGCGTCATAGTGGTTTGCCTAGACCCAACTAGGCGCCGTTTGACGTAGTCATCGTCAGTGACCTTTGCAAAATGCTGATCTTGTTTGCATTTGTTTGTTGATTTGCCAATTGGGCAGTCTGTTTACTGCCGATCGGTTGCTATGTATGCTGGAAATTTCTAGATGCATACTTGGGCAATTTCCAAGTGAAATCTATAATGAAAGTTGTAGTTTGACATCGGGGCGAGCGATGATGAATGAAACGCATTTGTCGGGCTTGGCTGTGGCTGCGGCTGCGGCTATGTAATTGTATATTTAATATCGCCTAATAAATACAAATCTCAATGACATATTTGTACATAGCAAGACATTTATTTCATTCATGTGCAATGAAGGTGACGATTCAGATTTGAGTTAATTTACATATGTATTATCTTATTGAATACTTGCAGTTAAACATAAATCATGATGTCCACAGATTATTCAGAGATGATTTTTTTTAAAATGAAATTCAATTCAATATTTTAGACGGAACCGGAACCAAAATATATATTTTCTAAGACCGAAAACGGTTAATTAAAACCGAAACAGTTTCGGTTCTCATATTGATTTATTGTTTTATTTACCAGCTCCCGGGAAGGTGAAATAATAATGTTTAAAAACACAGCACAACCAAGAGCTTTTATTTTGAAGATAATTTTTCAGTTAAAACCGTTAATGAATATAAATTCAATTCTTAGACCGTTCCAAAAGCGCAATCAGAACCGAAATATATCCCTCGTTTGTTCCTTATAAGCAAATGTTATAGTTATTTTACAAAATAAATTGTTCACAGCCTATTTCAGCAAAACCTTATTGACGATACATATTCGTATGTTTTAAAATTTATAATGTGTTGAGCTAGGCTTGATATAAAATTGTACATGGAGAGGTCGATTTTTATGATTCCGGTAATTAATATTGTTTGAATGATTTTGTTTGGAATTAAATAACTTGATTTAATAAATTGATTTACTCAGAAAAAAATTATACTTTCTGTGGAAAGAATTAATGAAATGAGCAGAACTTAACATATTTTACATGTCCTATATGTATATATATGTTTAAGAATGATTGTGAAATAAAAAAAACATCAGAAAACAAAATCACTTTAAGTGGTAAGGTCTTGTATAAAAGTTCTTTATTTCAGCATAAAATTTATCACATTAACTTAATGCTAAGTGTGTGTTTTGAACACCACAGTAAGTACAGCTGTGCGCCTTAGAAACTAAACCATATGATGAATGACATTACAAAACTGTATAAATATTATTTTGTAAAAAAATCGGTATTTATAATTATATGATTGTGATGGGCGTAAATGTAAATGCTGCCTTCCCAGCTCCAGTGGAAGGGTCTGGGAAAAACACGCGCCTTTGGCAACGCTGGACCCTCAACGAGGTCGATCAGCAGAGGATTCTCCACAACCTACATGCCTTCGCAGGTGGCCATGCACTGCTTGTAGCTGGGGAAGTTGTTTTCATTGCCATCACAGCCGCCGAATTTGAACTCGACGCACTTCTTCTGCTCCGGATCGTAGCGCCAGCGCGGTATAAGGGCCCGACAGACGCCCTTGCGTGCTGGCATCAGACAGAACTGCTCGGGATGCGTATTGCGACCGGTGTTGGCTACCTCGTCCAGTGAGATGGCGTCAAAAAAGTCACTCACATCGTCATACAGATCCATGGGACGCGCTTGGCTTGGTGGCACCGCCAGCAGCAGGGTTAGGGCCAACAACAATAGACCGCCAATGCCCAAGACTTTTAATGAAGGGGCGTACATGGTGGGCTGGACAATGTTCGTTCTGCACTTTAAACACACACACTCCAACAACTTGCAATTGTTTGTCAATATTCGACGCGAGTTTCGGGTTTCTATTTGCGTTTTCTTTCAGCTTTCTTTCACTTTCGACTTCTACTCGGGACTCTTGTTCACCTGACGGCTTGCGGCAACCAACTGATTGCATTTCAAGAGTTGCTTTATGTTTTATACAAGGAACGTGACTGTTGGCTCGCAGCGTCAACGCCAACTATCGATCGCTCAGCTCGCTATAACTCATTTTTCGCCCAAGTCGCTCTTGTTCGATTTTGAACCAAGCGTTGCCAGATGATTTGCAGTATTCATTTTATCAAAAGTAACCGCCGACTTGAAACTTTTGCGTAGCCTTACAAATATATTTTTGAAATTGTAAAAGTGATATTTTCAGGCTGATGATTTATTAGTTTGGGGGTTACATAAAATAAATTATTTTTTTCTGAATCAATTTTACAGTTATTATTACAATGACTCACATTAATGTGTTGGCTGAAAATTTTGTTTTCAATTTTGACATGTTTATTTAAATCATATTAACAAGCCATACATTTTTAATAATATCTGATGCTGAAAACACGTATGGAAATATCAGTGAATGAAGTGAATTTTAATAAAACAAATACTCAAAACTTATATTATGGATTGGAGTAAACGATTCCACACATTTTTTGTTTTTAATTGCAACTTTATTTAAAATTAGTTTAATAAGTAATTGCAAGTCTTAAACTTGGAAAAGTGGAGCAGTTAGTTACTACAAAACAGTATATCAGCATTTATATCCCTTTTCAGTCTTGATTTTACATTTTTAAGAATTTGGTAATTGCCTGTATTTGCTCAAATGTATTACACATGTATGTATATAATAACATATGTAGATAAAAATAAAAATATTTTATTTAATTTTTAAAAAAGTTTCTCCAATCGACTGGATGTGCTAATGAAGTTATTGTAAAACCATTTAAATTGTCTTAGATTTTGTATTCTGTAAGTTGGATGGGCTTTTATTATCTATGAAAGTATAATGTTTCGCCGTAAAATATGACTATTTGCAAATGTGTTTTGCCATAAAGGCTTACGCTCATAAAACCTACAAAATAAAACAAATTAAAAAAGGGTTGTAAAGTTAAAGAACGTGTAAAACACTCTTTGCATGTATCATGATGTAACGTCCACTTCAAGAGTGATTCGGGTGTCTTAAATATTTTAAGTTTGTACTTTGGCAAAATATGATGATTGCCTCTGCCTGCCACTTTATAGAAATATATCGTGAACTTGGCTTATAAGAAGAAAACAGAATGCGGCGCTAATAAAATAAACAAGTTTACTGTTGTTGACTCATTTGAGAATTGTCTGCTGCAAAGTCGTTGGTGGCCTGTGGACTTTCCTTGCAGTGTTATCTCTACCATTGCTCCTGCCGCGTAGATCCGTGCGCATGGCAAACGTGCAACAGTTCTCCAGGAGTGCGAAAGCCGTGGAGTTGTAAGCGCCGTCAGCGCCAAAGACATTAATTTGTGCAATTGCCTGGGCTGTTGCTGTCGCTGCTGACTGTCAGCCACGCCCACTGAGCGGGCGTCAAGGTAACAGAAACGCATGAGCAGCGGTGGCAGTGTTGATGATGCCGAGGATGAAAGAACAGCTCTTCGTCGCTTTCTTTGTGGCCATGATGAAAATTGCATGAGGTTGCACTTCGCATTTTATGCTGCTGCTTCTGCTTCTGCTGATGCTGATGCTGCCTGCTAGTGCCTGCTTTGGCGAATAGACGAAGATGTTGCTTTCGCCGCTATTGCTGCAACATCTCGTTCCCAAGTTGCAGTCAAATTTTCATTTTTCCGCTCACGTATTTCGATTAAATTCTCATTTTGGTCATAATTTTGCCGTTTTTACGTTTGGTGTAGCATTAAATTGCAGCTCCTCTTGAGTGTTGCCGTCTGCTGTCTGCCATGGCCAGTCGCCGGCGGCAAAGTGCGCCTTTTTTAGCGCTCTCCAGTTGGACACGTTTTTTATGTGCGTGTGCAGTTATCGTAATACTCGTATCAGGTTCGAGCAGGGGCGAGATACATTTAGAAAATTAAAAGTTTCCGCGGCTATTTTTTTTTTTTTTTTTTACCGTAAGGCAACTTTGCCAATACAAAGCTGTGGGTGTTTGGCTCTGTCTGTTTCGCATTGTTTTCTCACATAAATCAATTTGGCACGCAGTTAGTTGGCAAGTTTTATTATTGCCGCATAAATCCGTTAACAAACGACAAGCACCTGATGCTTACAACAGGAGGTGGATGTGTACATTACTACCAGGCATCGCCTGTGTGTGTTTAGCTAATTCTGCCACACTCATATCCATACATACATACATCATCTTTCGCACACACACACACATACAGAGAGAGAGACACACGCACACACACGGAGCCACTCATATGGGGCACACATTGGCAATCTAATGCACGTCACATTGGCAAATTCCCTATGAGCATTGAACTGCGGCAGGGCAAGCTTAACAATAAAGTTTTGTTATGTGCGCGTAATAAATTGAAAAATAGTGCGCAGCACACACACACTCACACACACACAGCCACACATACACGCACTTGTACACGTGACATAGTGTGCAGCATGTGTGTGGCGATAAGATAAATGTTACCCTCCAGAAGCGCGAACTAAACGTTAGATGCGCCGCACAGACACGTTCAAGCTGAGCAGGAAATCTCTGCATACTTTTAGGCAGCACAGAAGCTACTAAATCTTATTCCAAGCAAGAGCTCTTCGCTCTAAAGCCATCAAACTAGGAATTATGTTTCGAAGAGTTCTTTCTTTTATCGTAATTTTGATGCAGAATTATATCTATATTTATTGTGCACTCATTTTTAAACAATTTTAAACTATTACAAAGCGTAGTATTTCAGAAAATTGTTCTAAGCTCAATTGCGTTTTAGATTTAGAGCGATTTTCTAAAATCTAGTAAATGTATTTTCTTGCACGTTTACATCTAACGTATCAACAACACGAGCACAAATTAAATACAATTTTGACAACAGACGCATCTGCCGGAGGCGGCGTTGGCGTCAGCGTCAGTGTCGGCGGCCAATAAAGCATATATTGGAATAATTCTGTGGCTGCAATGTAATTAAATTACTTAGCCTGGCTGCATGCGAAACATGGGGCGAACATGACAAAAACACGCAGTGCATAATCCTTTAACTGGCCGTCTGCGCCACTGGCCGGGTAAGGGTATGGGCATGGGAGTCAACGGCGGCATATTCCATAAAGCCGCCACAAAAACCGCTGTCAATATGCGGATTAACGCATCAATTACAAGAGCTGCCGACGCCAACAACATGGGTGTTGCTGCCGTTTTGCAATCGCTGGTCATGCAGATGGGCGTTTATTAATTTGCGTGCGCACACATACGTGAGTGTGTGTGTGTGCGGTAGTGCATGCCTTATGTGGAAAAAATGTCATTTATACAGTAATTTAATTAATTGGGAATTCAGAAAGAAGCCCCTTCTCAGCCACGCTCCTCACCACTTTACACATCCATATGTACCAGAGTATACCAGTAAATAGGGGTTTCCCAGTCTCTGGCACTTCTGAAACACAATTGTAATTTCATTTTAGTCGCACGAATTGACGGCCAGCCATCCAAACCATCCACACCATCCACACACCACCATGCGCCATTTCTATGAGCATTCACATTTATGCGCTCATAAAAACCCTAACGCCATCTAGTCAGGTCACAAGCAACTAAATTAATTCGATAATTGACTTCCACTCCTGGCTGGCTGGTCGGTCAGCTTATTTTTTCGTCGTCTACTTTTACGCATTCGTTATTTTGTCGCCCTTCTTGGCCCCTGGCCATGGCATTGGCGGCAACTGTTGATGCCGACTGTTGTCCTGGCTATTTGGGCTGCTTACTGCCGCCCTTTTGGCTGACTTCACGTTGGCTCGTTTATTTTTTTATGTGCGGCGCACACAGAACATAAAAACGTCTGTTGCGTGTTGCATATGGAAAATTGCCAAAAAGAAACTCAAAGGCAGAGCAAGCAAAGAAAGCGCAAAGAAGGCAATGGTTGGTAATGGCAGGACAGGCAGCAAAAAATTCTTAAGCGGAAGGCAAAAGGTTGTAGTTGTCCTGTGTTGGAGTAAATTGTGCATACAAGCATGGCACAAATGCTTTTTTTTTATAGTTGTGCAAGTGCATATGATTTGTTTATGGGCTTTAGATGAACTGAATTGGCAGTAAGAGCACGTGCGAGACTATTAGAAGGCACTATAGCCAACGTTAATCATTTGACTAATTAGGGTTGTTGCAACGTGCAAAAATTAATAATAAAGATATCGAAGTTGGACTTGTGCATCTGCAACTATAAGTTCTTTAAAGTGTCCACTGTTTTCCTTGTTCTCCTTGTCAGGCAAATTCGATTTTATTTAGAGCTCATGATTATTTAATTTGATCAAGTGGCGCAGCATGTCACATAAATTTCGTTTTTAAAATGTACTGAAGTTGTAGTGTCTTTCGGAAACGTAGCGAACAAATAAATGACATTTGTGACCAATGCTCTGCACACTGACACAACCACAGAAAATATTGCAATGTCTCTTAAGTGGACATATATAATACAATGTATTGTATTGTATTGTATTGTACAAATAGATTTTGCGATTCAAATAATTATATACATATGTAGTAGAAACATAAAAGACTATTGTTTATAGGCAATAAATACATACATACATATGTATGTTAATTTTCTGAGAGACTTGTTTTTTAATTTTTTATTTTTTTTATTGCGTATCGATGGCTGAATGATGTTGCGTTTTGTTTTACAATCTACCCAAAGGGTGGTGACAGACCCGACAAAGTATTTTGGATTAGTCCGGCAATAAGAGGCAAACCAGTGTTCAGTTTCTATTTGATGCTACATAACATTTCAACACCTTGGTCACTGAAAAAATGACCAAGCTAGCGAAAAGGCATCGGCGATAGATGCAGCAACGTCTTAGGCACAAATGCCCATTTTTATGAACAGCAGGTTCGACTGCTCGAAAATTGTTTGGTCTTTCTGCCACCACAGCTCTGAGTTTCAATGCAATTGCATTTAAATCACTTGGCCAGGACTGTGAGTCGTGGCCTTGTGCTTCATGTGCTGCTGCCGTTTTGTTGCGCTCATAAATTATGCAAAAATTTGCAAGGAAACATTTTGCTTGTATGTGTACATTATTTGTGTGTGTGTGTGTGTGTGTTTGTGTGTTTGTGTATTTGTGAGTTTGTGTTCTGTCGAAGCGTGTGCGCCATTTGTTCATTTCGAGACCAATAAAATGAAATGTTCTGAAGTAGTAAATATGCTGCCATTCACCGTGTGTGGCTCTCGACAAAAAACGTGTGGTTGCTGCTCGATGGTCGGTGGCTGGCGTTTGTTGCCGCTTTTGTGTCTGCGTCTGCGGCTCGTAAACTGTCGGGCATTTTGTCAGTAATTTTCTATTGCAACATTGCACATGATAGGATAGGGTTGGCGCTGGGGGTGAAGCATGCTTAATGAATTGCTTGTGTGGCAACCCTAGACGTACAAATACAAGTATCTATTTGAATATGCAAAGGCAAAAATGAGCAGAAGTGCATTTGAATAAGTTTACATATCATTTTATATTTATTTCGGGTCCAGCCGCTGGCTAAAATTGCAACAAAAGCATTAACTACAATAAATGCTGAAAAAGTTTAGTGGTAACATAATATTTTACTCAAAAGCGCGCAAGGAGAAAACGCGCAAGGAGAAAAGAAAGAAATACGAGTATAAACTACCCGAACTAATGGCGCGTGCCTTGTCATGTTTGTCCCTGCCGGACGACAGACATCTGTCCGAAAAGGTTTTTCTCTTTGTCATGTCGCATCGTTTTTGTTTTTAGTTGTTTGTTCCTTTCATTATTCCTTTTTTCCTTTCGCTAGAAGACATCGTGACAAGGCTGCATTAGGCAAAAAGTAGATATTGTTGTACTATAGCTACCAACTTTGGGGCGCTGCAAACTTTGAGGTAAAGACAATGCCCACATACATTGTAGGCATTGTACTTGTAGAGCATCTACTATACGTTCACAATGTATCGTTTATAGATATAAACGGCAGCTAAGCCGCAAAACTTTTCAATCTAAAGCGAGCTAATAACATTAGTTTTGTTAACTCTGCATGTTGATTATTTTCAATTATGCTGCGAAGCGCATTGTTGCATTGACAATGAGTCGCTCGTGTGTGGGTGGGCGTGTGGGCGTGTGTGCGTTATCGCAGACCCACACACTCGCAGGCACCACAGAACAACATACAGTCGGAAATAGGAAATGTTATTGTCGTTGCGCATACGTACGTCCCCTTGTACGGGAGCGCCTACGACAGTTTTGCAAAAGTTTCGCATAAAACAAAAATTTGATTTACATTGAAAATGTAACGTGGCACGCGCAAACAATGCCGGGGCAGGCAGCCCAGACTTGCGCCACATGGAGCAGGGGCCGTTGTTGAATTGCCAACAAAAACCATTTCATGTTAAACATGCGCAACAGCAACTGTAATACATACGCGTCCTCGTACTGGCAACAGCAAATGCTGTCAGTTGGCGTCGCATGTCGGAAGTCGGCGGCGCAGCCCATGGAGAGCTTGCACAATGGCTTGGCCTAGGAGCCAACAAGACTGGCAGGCAGACAACGCGCTCTTATCAGGAGCGAAAGCGCCTTGTCAAAGTTTTGCGTACAAAATGTCAGTCGCAACTTTTCCTGAGGTCTGAGGTGCAGGTATCCTATACAGACGCCTGTTGCTCAATGAAAACTCAATCAGTGCACTCGAGGTGGCAAAAACAAAGCGCCACCAAGATCAAATTTAATTCAATTTCTAGAAATTGCTAAATCAAAAGTGAGGAATATACTTGTATATATAATGTAATATATAATATACTCTTATACAGTACTCAGAGCATATTATTAAACTATTGGCTGCCATACCAAAAGAAGTTCAATACTAATTATGTAATGGGTATGTATATACTTCATATTTGAGCAAAAATAACTGTTTTTTATAAAAAAAATAAATTATTTACAACTTATTAAACTAGTATTCTGCTATCAATAGGGCAGCTTAAGCTAGTTGCAAGTTAATATGGAACACCAATATTGTCCATAGGTACACATCTATAGGAAACACTTAAATCTATGTAAATATACAATGAAATATTTACAATATGTTTAAATTAAATATGAAATTAATGTTATGAAATTCAAGGGAACTTGTGGGGAGACCCTTCGGGTGGCAGAAGGAGAAACGACTTTAATGGAAGAGAAGACATGTTGCCCGTTTTTGTTTTTGATGCAGATGAGATAATTTGCATTGATTATACTTCGAATTGGGAAATAATCAGTGCTGATATTTTCGCAGAGTTGATAAAGCAGATATGTATTCTATTTATTAACATGAAGTGCACCTCCACAGCTAAGCTCGCATTAATGTACAAAGAGAAACACAGATATTATTTCCCTAAAAAGAATAAAAGCGAGTCAGTCGCTCCAACATTTATATTATTATTAATTGGTAGAATTTTTAATTTAAAAGACGAGCATGCCTGGAAAAAATGGTCATGCTGAACAAGAAGGATTTTATAACACCCGTTTTCCCTTCGAATGCAGGGTGAGCAAGAACCAGAGGTGGGCTACCTAAGTATGTACTTACTATAATATCTGTCTTTTCAACAGATCTCCAAACGGAGAGGCACATCAGATCAAATTTCTCTACATTTGATTACTTTTATTAATATCCATATAGACTCTTCTCTTACATCTCGAATTAAGTAAGAAATTTGGCTAACAATGATTTGTGCTAGAAGACTCGAAAAGGGTACTCGTACTATCTACCTGAGTTGGATTTGTGCAACGCACTGGTGTCAAATCCATTCAATTCGAAGGCATTTTAAATGATCCTCAGTATAGAACTTAACTTCTTTCGCAATGCCCCAGAGTGTTACAATTTGTACAAGGGTTTTAAGTCAATCGATTTTGATATAGATATGTTTATTTTGTAACGAAACAAAACTTTGCTGGCTAGTCATGATCTTTCTGCAATTGTGGTGGACGCTGATGGTTTTGAGTGGAGGCAGTTCGCTGCCCACGCAAGAGGACGATGGCGAGCAGCTACGCAGCTTTCAGCGAGCTGTTGAGGATGCGCGGTTGGAGCTCCACGGTATTAAGCCCACATATGGCCAGATGAATCGGGAAAGTGATCAACTATTTCGGCACAGACGTAACACCATTGACGACATGCTGGCAAGTTTTGCTCAGCCGAATGAAGGTGGAACAGAGGATGAGAACAAATCGTTGCAAAACGCTGCCGATGCTTGGTTTAAAAATTTTCAGGCGGCTGCTGCAGACTCGGGCGTGAGTGCAAACGACAAGTCGGAGCGTGCATGTAAAAAGAATAAAAATACGATGAGTGACTACTCCAGGGCGATGGAGAATACAGAGCTGGCTAAGGTGAAGCAAAAGTACAAGGACCAGCCAGTGGACACAATGGTAATGCGAATGCCCACGGATCGCAAAGGCGGCTATGATGGCAACGCCTCCCCTTTGGACATAAAGCTAAATCGTATACAGCAAGTACTACATGCGGACGATTACAAGCCGCGTAAGTTTGACAAAGGAACTAACACGGAGCTAAGCGAAAAGAAATCGAATGCGCCTACATTCGAAGATGGCGTTGTGCCGGATGGCGTATACGAGCAAACAATGGCTCGACTTAACTATCCCCACATGCCACAAAAGAATTTTGAACCAATCAAGAACAATTTATCGCACGAGGCCAACTACAAGTTGTCCAAAATGGAGCAGGAAGCTTCGGAGCAGCAAAGCACAAAGATGGCCCGCTTTCCCTCAAGCAACTTGGACAAACGGAGTACAGGCTTTAACCCTATGAACGAAATTAAGTTGAAGACCAGTCATCGCCTAATGCGGAAAGGCTTGGGTCCATCGCTGCCTAGTAATGGGCTGATAGATAACCGACGTCTGCAATATGTCGATGATATGATTAAGAGGCGGGAACGGAACATGGCACTCGAACAAGAACAGCATGAGAGACAGCAGCAAGGAGAATTTGAAGATACAGGTATGGATCAAATGTTGCCACAATACGATAGCTTGGGTAACATGCAGACTATAGACACTATGCCAGACAATTCTATGGATTCTTCGCAGAACCCTGATTTTGAGATACAACAAGGCTATGACTTTCTGATGCCAAATTACGAACAGTTCAAGACCCCGACAAATCAACAGCTTCCCGACTACGCTCGTATTAAGCGTATTGCTGCCGACTTCGAGCGTTTTAAGCGAGAGCCGAACACCAGAGCCGACCTAAAATTGGAGGAAGGTAAAGAAGCTGCGCCAGCTTCCGGGCTCGAAGAACACGGCAAAATAGCTCCGGAAATAAAGGGGGAAATCGAGAGAAACGTCAAATCAGAAACTGACGACATCAAATTGGAAAATCCGGCCAAGTTGGAGTTGCCCATTAAGCTGGAAGGTAACATCAAGATAGAAAATGTGGAACACGATTCAGCAATAGCCAATAGTAACTCTGCGGTGAAGTTGGAGTCGGAAAGTAAGCTACAAGAGAGTGGCCAGGTCGAAGCCAACTTGGTTGAAAAAACGAAGGCAGTAGACAAAAATATAGATGGTGAAAGGAAGTCAAGTAGCAGTGAGCTTAATAATAGCAATGAGCCAATTTCTGGGCCTATGAGCAAAATCGAAAATGAAATCAAGCCGGGGAATGAGAATTTATCTCTGGACGAAGCTCATGCATGTGAGGTGGCCACAAAGACAGAGGACCATGAGAAAGTTGATTCCGAAGGAAACTCTGATGCTGCTATTAAGCTAAATATAAAACTTAAGGAGGACGTTGTGAAGCCAGTAGTTGAGGATTCCAAACTCGAGCACAAGGATGAGATCCTTTTATTAGGCAAAACGTCAGTGGATGCCAATACATCGCTCAATCCTGATGCTGTAGTTAAGTTGCTAGCAAATGAGATTTCCCTTAACGATAAGGAGCGTGGGAAACGGCACATCAGGCGGTTATATCGACGTAAGTTCCACCGCCAAAAGCGTTGTAGCTGCGATCAGGACAGTAACCAGGGAGAATGTGGGTCCTCGGTGCGGCGACGTCAACGTCGATCCATTGATGAGAGACGTCCAGAAAGTGAATCAAAAACAAAACGCATCGCCCGACCACTTGATGAATTGGACGATCATAATGGCAATCGCGTTCCTTTCGGCTCATTGGGGAACGGGCTTCTGACAATGCATGCAGACGATGTTGTGGCCCGTGAAGTGGAAGATTCGGGGTATCCGAAGCGACAGCAGATAGGCTATGATGATGATACGGAAGATGAGCATGACTGGGATGGATTTTCCCGTGGATACGATGAGAATCATTTTGTAAATGCTCAGCATGCTGTCCCCATGCTAAATAATCGAAACATCAATGTGATTCAGCAACAGCAGCAGCAGCAGCAACAACAACTACCCGTGCAACAGCAACCAATGCAACAACAGCAGCAACAACTACCCGTGCAACAGCAACCAATGCAACAACTACCCGTGCAACAACAACAGCAACAACAGCAACAACAGCAACAAACACAGCAAGCAGCACCATCGCATTTTAAGGCGACCTTTAATTTGACTAACTTTCTAAACGAGATCGCAAAGCTGCAGAAGAATCATCAGCCTCAGCAGCTGCAACAGGGGCAGCAAGGGCAACAGGGGCAACAAGTGCAACAGCAACAGCCAAATAACCAGCAGTTAAATATGAACCATAAAGGCAATCTTAATGCGAATAAGGTGCAACTGCCCAACCGCCAGAATACCATGTATGGTTCCCATCGTTACTTTGAGCCACTCTTCAACAAGGCCCAGCAACAGGGAAAGCAGCAGAATAATGGAAATGTAGCTAAGAAATTCTTTATCTTCAAACTTTCTATTCAATTTCGACCTTTCAGAACGCCTTTCAGCCCAATATGGTAGCCGATCCTTGCCTCACAACATCGACAGTTGCCACCGGAGACGTACAGCCGGCGTCGACACCTTCGTCACAATCATCCCCACCGCCGCCGTCACAGATGACTTCCTCACCCTTATCACCAACTACCATAAATCCAGACTGCATACCTTTAATAAATGCCAGCACGACTGCGAAGCCAGCCGGATCCGCCAGTAGTTTAGCACCGACTGAGCCCCATAATGATATGTGCAACAATCCGGACATGATGAAGCTCAATGTTACCGTGAACGCCACTGTCTGTGGAGATCCAAAGACCAAACAGTTCTTTGGCAATGGCTCGATTAGCATGCAGCCGGGTCTTGAGAACTCTGGCGATGACGACAGCAGCGACAGTAAGTATTTATACGTAACTCCAGAGGAATTTGCCCAGCTGACTGGTGAGGAGAGAGTGGCACGTGCGACTGAAGGCGCTGCAGAAAGCGATCCTAAGAAGTCCAAGAAATCTGATAAGCGTGATCGAAAGGCAAGAGGAAAGAAGCCGAAAAAGTCAACACAGAAAGATTCCAAAAATAAGGGAAAAAAAGCCAAAAGCAATGTCAAAGACCAAGAGGCGGTGGATAAGGATAAAGAAATTGCTAAGGAAAAGGAGAAAAGCGCAGCTAAAGAGGACAAGTATATGGCCGTCTGGTAAGTTATTTGTATTGCCATTGGCGCAGTGTTCTCTTCATTTTATTATCTTTGTTAGCCCTCCCCATCGAAGTGGCAGCGACGATACCATGAAGGAGCCCTGCTCAGACAGCTTTGACAAATTGATAGCGGGCAAAATGTCTGCCCAAATTGTAGAAGCTGTCTTTGAAATGGTTAACAATGATCCCAGCTTCGATCGTTTGATGGGCGTGCTTGAGAAGAATCGCAAGTGTATGCGCAAGAAAAGTAAGAATCTATATCAGATACGTGGCGATAGCAACGAGCAGCGTATGCAACAAGCCGAAGATATGATTAAACAAACTATGCAAGCCATCAGTGACATCATCGACAAGCAGATGCACCAACGTGCCTGTATTCCTCTTCGACCCGATCTCATGGAGTTTTACGATCTTATTGTCAAGACAATGGAGGAGCAAGAGAAATGTCGCGAGAAGCGGGAGGACTCATTGCGTGGTCTGGATGAGGATATCGATCAGGATGTGCAGGCACTGGATCCTAATAAAATCGAGCAAAAGTCACGAGTTGTGAAAAAGTTGTTGCGACAGTACGACGACCTTCCTCAAGAGGACCAGAGTGCAGTGGCCGGCGTCCGGGACGAGCTGCTAATGGAGCTTATCTATTTGCGAAAAATGGCAGATGCTGTCGAACGAAATCGTCGCAATGCTCAGCTGCAGGAGGTGCTGCTAAGGACACGTAACGATCCAGAATTTGAGCACAGTCTGTCTGAAGAGTACTCGCCCCGGTTCATCAAATTACTCAAGACAGCTGAACTGTTTAGGGAGCAGCAGCAGAAACCTATGGATATGCTCTGAGATGTTTCTTCTTGCGTTTGTTTATGTATATTTTATTTAGTGCAATTGCAAAATATCTTTAGTATCCTATAATTGTTAATCAGTTTTTTACAAGTATAAATAAATCGAGTTTAAATAAATAAATTAACCAAAATAATGCGTTAGGCCCAAATTGGCGCCAAAGTCTTTTTGTCCGCTCAGAGGGCCACTCATCCACTTCGAGGCGGTGCCTCCTAAATCCAGTCGGGTATTGCGATCTTGCGATTGCCAGAGATTAGCTCGGCCACCCAATTCCAGCTGCTTGCCAAAGCCAGGAATATTACTGTGTGTCAGACTGGCTCCATGCCCATTGATGTGCGAGTAGTCCAAGCCTGCGCCATTGCGTTCAAACTTAAGGCCGTTGGCGAGTTGATTTTGAGAGGCAAACGCCTTGGCATCCAATTTATGCACTCCATTGTTGAAAAGATTGGCGTTGGCCGATTGGGTGAAGCTATCCCGCACCCCGGGCGTGTGCGTCTTGGTGAGCTGCAGACCATGGCCATTGCTATATGGAAAAATCGATCTGGTTAAGCTAAGGCCGGAATATCGAGTGCTTGCCCAACTTACTTATTGTAGGCCAGAGTGCCACCGGTGGTAATGGGTCCCTTTCCTAATGTGTTGCCCGCGGCAAATACCTGTCCCACCAAATTGTGCTGTTCCGTGCCAATAGCCTTGGTCAGGTCCACTCGAGCATCGGCACCACCGGCAGGATTTGAAGTCAATGAGCCGCCCAACGATTGGCGTCGTACACGTATATAGGTTGGTGGCGGCGGTGGTGGTGGATAGTAGACTAGGTGCTGGGCGGTAACACGTTGTGGCATGGCCGTGGCAACGGCTCCGAGCACAGCAATGCTAACGATAATGGCAACAAATAGGTTCCTCATGTTGTATTGTACTTGTTCTGAGCTCTAAGCAGACTGATAATGCTGTTCGTGCTCGACAGATGTTTTATATAGCCGTAGCGATAATGCAACAGATTCTGTGCTGGGGTTCCCGTGCGTGCCAAGCGACGAGTGATTTACAAAGCGGGATCTTTGGGTCAATCTCATGCCCAAATGTCTGTCTTATCAGCATTCGGTGAATGATTAAAAATTGTGTGTTGTGAATAAAAATCCCACAGGTGATTTCCTCATGAAGTTTGTTCGCCCCATTATTTCTGCTGTTTCTGTTTCGAATATGACTAAGACTGTTTGCGCTTGGCCGGTCTGCGTTTAAGCCAAACCGGTCTTGGCAGAGAGTGAGAAAACTCTCGCTTAATTTATCGTTTGTAATTTTGTCTAAAAACTACTCTACGACTCTTTCATCAATTTTAACAATTTTTTATTAGAAAACACACATCGAGTAACATTTACTTGTAATAAAAAATCGTACGTTGATTAATTCTTAATCTCAGTCGAAATTCCATTTTATTTTTGTACATAAAATAATGAGTTTATCATTGGAGCATCGTTTAGCGCAGATTTTTTCGCATGGACAAATTATCAAAAAACATTGTAAGCAGCTGAAATTATACGAATGGCAGTTGTTGGAACGTTTGCGACTGATGTATCAAAAGCGTGAGAAGATGCTGCAGGACATCCAAAATCGGCTATTCTCCAATGAAAAGACAGGTCAGGCAACGAAGAATAAGCGCAATTTAAAAGCGGTTGCGAAAATGCTTCTGCAGTTCAAGAGATGGCTTTTACATTGGTTTAAATTCTTGTCTAGACAGCGACATTGTATAGCGGCAAAATTGCGGCAAAAGGAACATTTAAATCAAAAACTGTGCCTTTTACTAAAACAATTACAACGAGGACGAAAGGGCAAACATATCCTTTCTCGCTACATAGTCGATAAGTACGCAACAAAGTTTGACCGGTCTATTCGAATTTTGCACCAGAGCTCTCAATGCAGGGTCTTGAACAAATTGGACACAATGCTCGAGAGTCAGTCTGTCGCATTGGAAGAACAAATAAAGCAGCTGGAACATTGTAGGAAAATTATAAAGCCAAGAAGCCTTCGGAAAAAAACTGCTGACCAGGGAGGGAAAACAAAAAGCCAATTTTGGAAAGGCGAAAAAATGAAATCGACGTCTCCAGAAATAGTGGAGCGAGAGCCCAAAGGAAAGGTGGAAAAAGCTAAAGTTCTGAATGAAAAAACAAAGTCCAAACAGTTAAGAAAATCGCAAAAGTGCAAGCTCGGCATTAGAAAAGAAACAATTAAAACAGTTTCTTTGGCTTCATTTGTTTTTAGAAATGATGAAATAGATGAAAACTGTGCTGTTTCCCCAAAAAGCTCCGGAAACCATCTTAGCGTTAGCTACAACCCAAATTTAGCTGCAACACGTAAATCAAAATCTATGTCAGCTGGACCAATGGTTGGTAATTATTATTTGAAAACTATTAGAAGTTCCACTTCATGCAAAAGACTTGGAAGGGAAAGGGCAAAGTCAGAACCAACGCTACCGAATGAGAAAATTAAAGTTTTTAAAAATAAAAACAAAATTACGAAAGGTATAAAGCAGAAAAATATAACATCCAAATATAAATTAAAGAAGAGCGTTTCGGAATTAAACGAAAAAAACAAACCACAAACCAATAATGTTGTATTAAAGAGAAGCAGAGATTTTACAGTGGAAGGAGCGGAACAAAATTGTAAAATAGATAAAGAAAATTGTTTGAAAGAAGGCGATAACATGAAAGACCACAACATAATAACAGAACTTGTTGATATTAACGAAGCAAATGCAGCGCTGGATGCAGAAGATTTTAAAAATATTGAAGCTCTAGAAATCTCTGAAGTATCCCAAACGGCTCAAAACAAAACTAGCGAGGATCTAGAGGAACAACTTAAAGAGCCAATTGTAGAGACCAACGAGGCGTTCTATAGCAATAATGACTCCACAAAAAAGCAACTTGGGACAGAAGATGGTTTTGTAGATTACAACAATATCAAAAGTAAACTGATGGATTATAGCGAGAAAAGCTATGTGAAGACCTCCAAAATAGCTGTGCATAATACATGGGTATGGGGACCTGCAAAACAAACCTCAGATATGAATCAAATAGGGACATATTTTGACCCAAATTACGTTGATGAGGAGCTAACTTTTGATAAATATGGAAAGCAAAAGACATTGTCAGAAAACTATGTGGGTCTTAAAAAACGTTCGGTTATAAAGAGGGATCATCAAAACAAATGCACTCAACCGGAAAGTTTGGAAACTGCCAAAGTTGTCATAAATCAAGCAAAACACTTTACTTATACTTCGCGGATGAGAGGTATAACGCTAGTAAGTCAACTTGGCAGGGACTTAAAGCAGGATAATCAATTTAACAATGAGCTTCAGACAGACCAATGCTGCAAGCACAACAATTTTATGAAGCACGAGTCGATTGAGTCGGCGACCTTAACTTCCGGGTATTCAGCCTCAAATAGATTTTCCAATGCTGCACTCTCCGACTCTTCCCATTTCATAAATGAACCGCCAACTTTCGATTGCGAGTCACGTTACTCAACGGGTAATGTAAATGAAATTGTGGACAACTGGACTTGGTTTTTCAAAGGCAGAGAGAAAAGGGTCTTAGAAGCCAAGTTGAGATGTGAAATGAAAAAGCGCAAAGTCCAGCAGGGAGAGGGCAGGCAAACAGTGCGAAAACATAGGCATCGAAAACTTGACCAATTGTATTATGCTCCGCGTCAGACAAAGCGTATGGAAAGTATTCTGTACCTTAATGAGCTGGAAAGCTGTAATCATGTGGACGACAATAATACCTCTTTGCGGCTCAAAAAGAAAAGGCAAAACAAGCCGGCGTTGCCAAAGTGCCCGCGTTGCTGCATTAAAGTCGCCTCTGTGCCACCAAATTACGGCCAATCATTACCAAATCTGGACTTTAGAAATCCCACAGATGATAGTTCAGAGACACAACTATTTCATGAGAACGAGGCCGAACTATGTGCACATTGTGGCTATGGACATTCACAAGACAAGTCATGTCTACCCGAAATTTGTCTGGAGTATAGTTGCAGCTCGATAGATACAAATGGAAACTGTAATAGACGATGGCACCATGCCGATATATCAAGCAGTCTTGAAGAAAATTGTCAGCTCGTGCCAAATGATGACTTTCCTAGCGCCATGACTACAACTTCCTCGCAAATTTTAAAGGAGCGGTTGCTTAATGCAGGACGAGGGAATAACCCTATGCTCCTATGCGTGCCGCAGCGGCATGATCGATGTCGTTATGCCTCATCAGTTAGTCATCTTTCAGCTTTAATCTGAGCATTCATTAACTTACCTCAAAATGGATGTTATTCTGGCTTGTGGATATATCGCAAAACCTTTAAATTGGAGCTAGTTGTTTCCTAAATCTTTAATAATAAATTAAGTACTTGTGTAGTATGACATTTTAAAAGTTTGTATCCTTATATATATGCAGTTTTATAATCATTCTCGTGCAAACCAATCCAAAGAATCATAAAAACTAATATGTACCCGTCTTTGAGGAAAGGTGGCCCCCCCATTTGCTTATCGAAGTCGTTCCTAACGGACGTCGAAGCCGAGAAATGTTACGCTGCAAAATGCATTTATTTAAAGGTTTTAGATTATTAAATAAAAAGGCAAAACGGGGAAATTGAAATCAAATGAAATCAATTAGTACTAATCTATCTCTCAATATTTTACCAATTAAATTTTGGTAATTACTAGCAAGGAGTCTTCCTAGTTGTTCGTTTCTGTTCAAATACATTCTGCAACAAGTTTTCAAATTAAGAGATCAGCTTACAGCAAGGGACTGCAGAGCAGACAAATATGATTCGTTTCGGATCATTTGCAGATAATTTAGGATTATTTACAAATTCGGGATCTGGCCTTACAAACCACAGACTAAGCCCAATTTTCCCTTTGCTGTGGCAGAAGAGCTTTAAATGGGTGATGTGTGTGCGGGCAAACTGTTTTGGATCTGCAGAGGCAAGACACAGCAGAGCGAGTCGCAGATAAGGCGCCTGCCCTGAAACATTCTGTTTAAGTGCAAAATAAATTCAGGTAGCAAGTAATGAGTTTGCAACGTCTACGTTGCGCATACGCAGTGTGAGTGTGGGCTGTAAACGTTAAATGCCTGGCATAGCGAGCCAGTTTCATTAAAAATGCAGCAGCTCACACACAAATGCACTCACGTGATGCCTGGCTTTTAATACACTTGCGCCTGGAGCGTGTGCAACAAATTTTTGGTTAAGTTTTAAAGCTGCACAAATGCAAAAATAAAACTGTTGGAGCCATGTAATGGAATTTTATTGCCGAACATTCTATTTGCGTAAGCGAAACATGTAGCAGACATTTTCATAAACGTTTTTGCTCAGCTGCAGTCGACGGCAGGAGAGGTTTTTGCTATGGATGTGAATGCAGCATAAATTGCCGGAGATTGAGAATTGATTTAATTGCCACATGGCCACAACTTGCCATTACTATAAAATCGTACGAGTATTACTTGAAATGGGGGAAAGTTAAAGTAAACTTTGCCCAACTTCGCTCAGAACGAAGAGCTGTCGAAAACATAGCAATAAACATGAAAATTGATGCTTGTGATCAATCATTTCCCTAGGCTGGCACCAGCACACAAAAACACTCGAGTGGAGGATATGGCGATTTCATTAAGCTGGTCTTCAGACACCAGCGACACTCCACCAACCCGACTGCCCTGACACACTCCCCTCGCAGAACAGACTCGCATACGGGCAACCCAAGTCGGGGCGTAAGCTGAGACGTTTGAAATTTCATTTGCATTTTGTACAAATCGAAAATGCTGCATGGGGCGTGCAACTTTCCATGGCAAAAAAAAAAAAAAAAATAAATGAATGCGGTTTTGCGTCAGTTGCGTCGGTTGAGCGTCCCGCCCCATATCGCCCATCGCGCTGCTCAATTTGCGCTGACTGCTGTAACATTACCTTGTTTGCTCATGACACACGCCTCATGGCCGCCCAGCTAGTCAGGCAGGCAGGCAGCCAGCCATCTAGTCAGCCATTTGGCCATTTTAGTGGCTTCGGCATTGTCCAGCTTTGGCATTTCACTCACTTGCTTGCGCAAAATGAATTTCTTTGCTTTTGCTTGGTTGCTTGCTTGGTTATGCCTTGTCTTGGCTGTGCGTTTTTGTAATTTTTCTTCGTCTCTGCTCTTTTTTCTCTCTTGTCTTCCCAAGTCATTTGTGATTTACTCGTAATTCTTTGACTTGTCAAAACAAACGAAATGAAGCGTTGAAATGACTGCCAGCGACGACTGCCAGCCGTTCCCGTCTCTTCGTCGCGGCATCGACATCATTGGTTTTTGGCATTTATGAAGCTTGTAATAACAGCATTGTCACGCCAACTTGTAATTCAATTGAAGCTCTGTAATTGCATTGTGCTCGTTATTATTATTATTCAAATATTTCCATTTATTCTGGTTGTATTTTCAAGAGCTTTGACGGACAATCGTGGCAGTCGCACATACTATATTAGTGGCTGCTACGACAAAGTACCATGTCATTAAATTGATATTTAAAAGATATTTAAAAAATATCAAATAATTATAATTATATTAAATATTAAACAAATTAATAAAATGCAATAATACAAAAATTAAAAAGTGGCAGAAGAAAGTGTTACATTTTCCTCGTTTCATTAAAAAACAAATCATTTCTTTATAATTCTTATTTATATTTTAGTCCACATATATTTTGTTGATTTAATAAAAATGAAAAATAAAAGAACATAAATAAGGTATAGTTATGTATATAAGGAATAACCATTTCAGAAGGTCGAGATATAAAACAAAACACAGGAATAAAGCGTTGATAATGATTAGTTAAATATCTTCGCGAATACTGTGTGCGTAAAACCTAATAAAACCACTGAGAAAATAGTAGTATTTGTTGCAAGAAATAAATAAGTTTTTAATTGAGTTCGTGTTTACAAATTGCCTGATCGTATTTTTCAAGGGCTGTGTGTCACAATTTTGAGCCTTTATGGAGCATCTGTGAACAATTGGCCGACACTTTCATTTACAAATCGAAGTCACTTGCAGGAATACCTTGGCTTTTGTAAACTAATAATAATTAGAGTATCTAGCAGAAGGCAAGCATACGAACACTATAGAATTCTAAATACATGTCTCTAAAGTGCTTGGTAATTATTGGCCTCAGGTGTGGGCATGGCAAAGAAAATGAGGATGAGAAGCGGCGAACAAGATTGCGTAAGCATAAAAAAAGGATGTAAAAAAAGCACAAAGATAAATTAGCCAGCTTAAATGTGAATAGCCAAAGTGGCAGGATATTGTGCCACAGCAAATGAGCACCAAAGCTGGCTGGGGATGGTGGGTTCCAGAGAAAAAAAGTAACGATAACTGCAGTTTGCACTTAACCCGTGCAAATGAACTGCAACAAAATTCGTCGGTCTCGAGCGGTTTTTCTTGCCATGTGCGTGCTCTGTCTCTAGGCATTGTTGTCTTGTGTGCTTAGGGCTTCAACTGAAGTCAAATGCCACACACATCCACATCCACTCCCACTCCAACTTTGTGGTGCACAAGTAGCCCTTCGGCAATTACAGACAACTAACACACATACTCGTTTATAGTATACTCGTGTGTGTGTGTGTGTGTGTGTGTGTGTCTGTGCTCTACACTAGACGGCACTCCAACCTCTTCAAGGAATGCCACAAAGTGCGAATGCATAATTAATTCCAATTATGAGCTCACAAGCAACATTGGCTTCGATGCAACCTCAACTCGAGACAAGCACAAGACGGAGACCCAGAACTAGAACCAGACCGAGAGCGAGACCGAGACCGAGACCAAGACCGAGAACGAAACTCAGGCGAAGACTGAGTCAAAGACTTATCAACGCATCGACAGTGACACCAACACCAACATCAGCAACATCAGCAACAACAACAAGAAAAACAGCGTCAATGAAAAAAGGGCACGTCTGCTTTGAGTTAAAAATCCCCTTAACTTTGGCGGCTGCGTTGTCAACACGCAAGTGTATTTATGCTGTCTGTGTGTGTGTGTGTGTGTGTGTGCTTCATAGTTCGAGTGAGCCAAGTGCTTAGCATGTTTAAACACATCCTTAAAAGTCATTTAGACAGTTATCTGCTTGGCAGCAACAACATTGCCATCGTTATCATCATCGTCCTTCTCGTGCCTTTTGACTTTTAGCCAGACAATTGATGGCTATGTGAGATTTTTCTCAGCCCCTAAACTTGTGCGTCAATTACAAAATGTTGAAAATTTCAATATCAATAACATTTAACGTAGAACTAAGGGGGGTAAGGGTAAGGGTAAGGGCAGGGTAGAAGTAGGAAAGTGCTTGCTGCACCCAAAAGAAAGGCAAAGTCTAAGTGTTGCTGCTGCTTCAAATCTGCAACAGTTGCCGCCGCCATTCCAGCCACTGGGATCGGAAATGCATTTTGTTGTTATTGTTGTTGTTGCTGCTGTTGCTGCTGTTGTTGTTGGAGAGCAGCTTACGGCGCGTCGCGGCTACATCAGCATGTCTGCCTAACTGGTATGCTGAAGTGTTTTAATGGATTTTTAACATGCATCCATGTGTGGCAAGAAATGAACTTTTGAGCGGTAGGAGAAATGTCAAGTTTGCTTTTAGCATTTGTCCGCAATCAAACAGCTGTCAAGGCAAAGCCGTATCCGACCGCGCCCACATATAGAATGGAACATGTACAATATATGCCCCAAACAATATTCACCGCATCAATCATAGCGCCAAAATACTTATTGTGGCATGCTTGCAAGTCTGCTCTGGTGTGGTCGACAATCTAAGCCTTAAGCCAATCATAAGAAGTTCAGTTCATAAAAAGATAATAGGCTGGCTTACCCGCATGTCACTCAAACTTTACGCAGAGGCCCAGCTGCTCACACACACACAGAAACGTACACACACACAAACGTACACACACAATCCAAGCTCGCGCGGCACAATAAAAGCCTATAAATTTGCAGATTATTTGCATATTGCGCGACGCATTTGGTGCCTCAACCAAACGCCGTTGTAGTTGTTTCTGTTTAATTCTGTAACAAAAGCGCAAGAAATTCAATTTGCTGCTTTATTTTCTTTCTCTTTTTGTTTCTTCCTCGGCACAAACTAATGTAAATCAAGCGACATTAAACGCGCATTGCATACAACGATAAATATAAGAGGCAGGAACCAGGCGGATCGACTTAAGGCTCCAGAAGGTAACAGCGGGGGTAACGATTTGTTTACACACCCAACCATGCACTCGCCCAGAGACATGACGAAGGGTACTCCATACAGTTGTTGTTGTTGTTGTACAATTTATTTTTAGTATATAGCATAAAATTATTATTTGTCGCCGTTGCAGCTGCGCAAAAGGACGCGCTTTTAAAGCAACTCCACAAAATGAAAGGACATCAAATGGAGGCGAAGGAA